ACCGCCCCCTTCCCCCCCCCCCGCCGCACCAGAGTGGCTGCAGTCTGGCACGGTGGCTGCCTCCAGCGCCCGCTGCAGGTCAGCCTTCAGCCACCACTTGGAGATGCCTGCAGCAGGCAGCAGCGGGGGGCCAGCAGGGGGCAGCCAGGCAATGGAGCCGAGGAAGCCAGGCCGGCGACGGACGAGAGCCCGGGCTGTCGTCGGCGAGCTGTGGGAACTGTGTCCGGTCTGCCGAGCACGCTGCGGCAGGCGCCACAACGGCCTGCATCCCAGGCGCACCTGTGTCGATGTGGTCCCACGGGAGCGGCGCATCCAGCCGCTCATCTGCATTGGGGGGCGCAGGGAGGCACAGGCCGATGCAGCGGGCTTGTGGGTACCCCGCACAACAACAACCACCTCCACCTCCCCCGGCACAGCGTCATCTGCCTGCCGCATGTCCACAGGCCCCCTCCCGTGCCTCTCCTGCCAAGTGCTTCCCACCCTTCCTGCCCCGCTCACCCGCCATATCGCCGCGGTCGACCCGTCCCTTGCCACCGCCGCCCTGCTTGCGGTACCTGCTGTCGCCCTGCACCCCCAGCGGCCGTGCGCTGATCCGTCAGAAACCCAAACCAACGGTGCTGTGCTCCCTTTCGCATCGCAGCATGCAGCACGCTGAGGGAGCAGCACGCTTGCTCCCTGTCGACACGTAACGTGGAGATCCCAGCCACTGCCCCACCTCATCACCACCTGCCCAGCCAGCTCACCAGGTGCTCCAGCACATCCCACTCCCCGCTCTCCACCTGCCGATACTTCCAGTCCATGCCGCACTCTGCAGCAGCAGGCGGGCAGCAGCAGCATCCAGAAGACACAGCTCACCACCAGCAGACACAGCTCACCACCAGGTGCTGATGAGAAGCAGTGCCGGCACCGGGGAGGCCGGCCAGCGGCCGCGCAGCCCCCCAAAGACCAGGCCCACCGTCCGCCTGCCGCGGGGGACAGGCTACTGCCTGCCCCGCCCCGCTCGCCTGCGATGGCCTGCGTCCAGGCCTGGAAGGCCTGCTCCTGGCTCTGCCACCAGGCGTCGTTGGTGGCGCCCAGCTCCCAGGCGCGCTTGATGACGGCGCCGATGCGGCGGTCGCCCCGCCCGATGAAGTCCTCCATAGCGCTGATGCCCACGGGGGTGAAGTTGGCCTTGCACTGGTGCAGCTTGCGCAGCGCGCCGCGCAGCATGGTCTGCGGGTGGGGGCGGGTCGGGGCCAGGCCAGCGCATGCACGGTTGGAGGCAGCAACGGCCAACAGCATCACAGCCGCGCGGTCTCAACGCAGAGGCGCCACACATGCTCCACCACGCAGCCCGCCCGCCCACCTGCTTGCGCAGGAACTCGGCCGTGCTGACGGTGTGCCACATGAAGGGCGTGTGGGGCTTGGGGGTGAAGTTGCTGCACGCCAGAGGGGGGCGCGAGGCGGGGCTAGGCCTCTGCTGGTCGAGGGATGCCACACATTGGGGCGGGCATGCACCGTGCCCACTGGCAGCCCTGCCTGCGCTCGTCCACCAAACCACCAGAGGCCCCCTCCCTCTGGCCAGGGCCCCACCTGATGGTCACATTCACGGCCAAGTGAAATTTGCCCTGCCGGCACTCGCGCTGCAGCCACTCCACTGTTTCAGCGATGCCCATCACATCCGCATCCGTCTCGCCGGGCAGGCCTGCAGCAGGGAGGGGAGGCGAGCAGGCACGGGCGCGGCTCAGCGACGCGCCCCTTGGCCGGCAGGCGTGGCCAGCTCCTCGGCCGGGGCAGAGACCCGCGCGGCGGCTATGAGCCAAGGCCCTGTGTACAGCTGCGGTACAGCTCACCGATCATGAAGTACAACTTGATCTGGCGCCAGCCCTTGTCCCAGGCCGTCTTCACCCCCCGCAGCAGCTCCTCGTTTGTGAGGCCCTTGTTGATGATGTCGCGCAGGCGCTGCATAGGGGTGCGTTGGGGGTGCGCATGGTGGTGGTTGGTGTAGGCGATGGACGGCCGGAATGGTGCCGGCAAGGCACGCAAGTCTGTCCTTGTCCCCACACAGAGACACATACACAGAACACTGCCAGGCTAGCAGCGGGAGAGCCAGACATAGCGGGAGAGCCAGACATAACGGGAGAGGCGGGCGATGCCGTGCGCCATGGTGTTGAGGTCGCCACCCACCTGCGTGCCAGCCTCAGGCGCGAACGTCAGCCCGCTGCGCTTGGCGCTGTTGGTCACGATGTGGGCGATGTCGTCGTCGAAGCGGTCCACGCGCTGCGCCGCAGGGCAGCAGGCAGGCAGGGCGGAAGGGAAGGGAGGGGGCATGATCTGGGCATCGGGGTCTGTGTGTGCTTGATGAGGGTGGTGGTGGGCGATGTGCATGAAGGAAGCCGCGGTGCGGCACCGCCAGACCCCGGCCCCGGCCTCAGCAGCGTCGACGGCGGCGTCGCCACCGCGAAGCCGCGCACCTGGCTGGGCAGGCTGAGCGCAACGTTCTCGTCTTTCAGCCGGTTCTTGATCTGGATGCCCACCGAGGGCAGGGACAGGTAGTCGGAGCAGGACAGAGAGAGGAGGGAGAACTCGTTGTAGCCGGTGAGGCGCATGCCGTGCTCCACCGCATCCACCACCCGGCTGGGCTCCACGTCGCGTGCGGGGCGCGTCAGCATGCCCGGCTGGCAGAACCTGCAGGCAGGGGTGTGCCGGCGGGGAGGGAGTCGGGCGGCAGGCGACGGTGGCGGTTGGCCGCGGTTGTTGGCGACAGGGAGCAGGCGGGCTCGCAAGGCTGCGCCTCCCTCCCAGGCGCCACCAGCACGGCCCGCTGGCTGGCTGGCCAGGCGGGCGCACCTGCAGCCGCGTGTGCAGCCGCGCCGGATCTCCACAGTCAGCCGGTTGTGCACCGTGTCCACAAATGGCACCAGCCCGATCTGCTGGAAAGGGTCTGGGGCGCAGACCCGCCGCTGGATGCGCTCGGGCACGCCCTCGCGGATGGGGAACACGGCGCCGCCCCAGCTGCAGCCATCAACAGGCGCCGGGCGGAAGGAGGCAGAGCAGAGAGTGAGAGAGGAGGCGGCATAGTATTCCAGGGTGCCCTGGGGGCCAACCAGGGAGAGCCTTGGGAGGAGAGCACACAAGAAGGACCCCAACCGGCCGCCAACCACCGCCGTGCAGCCCAAGCAACCCAGCAGTGTCAGGCGCCAGGCTCCTCCTCACCCGCCGGGCGCGTCGTAGAACTGAGGCACGTACACTCCCTCCACGCTGGTCGCCAGCCGGTAGAGGGTGGCATCTCGGTCCAGGCCCTCGGCCCGGCACTGCCGCAGGCACTGCCCGATCTCAACCAGCGCCTCCTCGCCGTCGCCCAGGGCGAAGAAGTCCATGAACATGGAGAAGGGCTCTGCAGGGGGCGTGCGGACAGTGGGGAGGGGCAGGGAGCAGGTGGCGTGAGGCGAGGGGGTGGGCGGCTGCGCTGGCCAGTGGGGTGTTTGGTGGGGGTAGTGGCGCAGGCCAGTGGGGGACGGGTCCAAACGGGAGACACCAGGCTGCTACCCATTGTGGAGCCGCCAGTCGGCGCACACCTGGGTTGGAGGTGGCGGTGGGCCCGCCGGCAAAGATGAGCGGGAAGGAGCCGCCAGCCGGGTCCCACGGCTTGCCCGCCTCCTCCTTGCGCTCCTGCACCAGGCCCCGCCAAACAGGCTCTCAGGCTGTTGGCTCACACCCCTGGCCCTTCTGCCAGGCTCGTCCGGCCCTCTCATCAACCGCCAAAAGCTCCGTGCAGTCCCACAGCCTACATTGGTCCAATACCATCCCTTGGTCCAAGGCAGTACCAGGACCTGTACCGCCAGGCACCCCAAGCGCACCTCCCAGGTGGGCGGCACCCCCGCCTGCCGCAGCATCTCCAGGATGTTGGTGCCCCCCAGCTCATACGACAGGCTGAACCCCAACACATCAAACTCATCCAGCGGCCGCCGGCTCTCCACACCAAACAGCCGCCGCCCGTGCTTGGCCAGCAGCTCCTGCGGGGGCCGAGCGGGGGCCGGGTTGGGCGTGTGACACGAGGGCAGCGGAGGGCGCGCGGTGCCCCAGCCGGCAAGCCTCCGCTCGCCCACGCCCTGATTCGCACACACAAAACCACGCTGGCGGCAACTGCGCGCAGGGTGCTTCCACTGGCACGCCCCAACCCGCCAGCCCGCGCAGTCTGCCACCCGCCAGCCCGCCCACCTGCATGTCCTCTGCAGGGTAGTAGGCCCTGTCGCACAGCAGGCCATCCTGCTGGTTGAGGATGCCGTACAGGATGATGTGGCCCAGGTTGGAGGCACCCACTGGAAGCACGGGAGCACACAGACCACAGCATGCGCGGTCGTGCACACGGAACAGGGGCAGAGGCAGGCAGGCGCACACGGCGGTGAGCAGGTCGGCATGCCCGCCACATCTGGGGAACAAAAGAGCAGTGGCACTGGCTGGCCAATCCAACAGCGCACTCCCTAGCCCATGAGCACCTTCGTAGACTTCGGGGTAGGTCAGGGCAAAGCGGATGTCGGCTTGGCTCCACGGCTTGTGGCAGGCCCCAAACTCGTTGCCGAGGTAGCGCGCAGGAGACTGCAGGCGGAGCCACTCGGCTCGCGGGATGCCGTAGATGTCGCCCTTGCCGGCCTGCAGATGCGAGGGGAAAGTTGCGGAGGGAGGCGAGCGGGAGTGGAGTACTGGCATGGAAGGGGATGCGGCGGAGGGCCTCAAAGGATGGCCCGGCTGGCTCTCAACACCTGGCTGCTGCACCCACCTGCAGCAGGCGCTCCTCGCGGGCCTCCAGCTCTGCCGGGGTGGGCTCTGCGGTCGCGGGCGGCAGGTCCAGCTCCGGCGCGGCAGCGGCGGCGGCGGTGGGAGCTGGGCGGCACTGCCCGCGGCGGCGCAGCGAGCTGCCACTGCGGCGTGTCGGCCTGCAGTTCATCGTGCACAAATACGATTCTGTGAATCGCTACGAGGGAGAGAGACGCTGGCAGAAAACCACCACCGACACCGCTTGCCGCTTGCCTACTGGCAGGGGGGCAGGCGCTCCCTGGCGCCATCACGGCGCCCAGCATGATGGGCAGGGGCAATCAGCACCGACAATTCCGGCTACAAGTGTCTGGTTGGCTGGAAGGGGCACGGATGGCAGCGCTACCGCCACCGGATGGAGCCTTATGCAGGGCAGAAGATGTGCTGAACGTCGGGCATCCAAACTGCCTATTAGAGGCCCTATTCCACTTTGCCCATGCTGGGTGCTTTGCTCTGCTGGAGGCAGCAGCGCAACATTCAGCCCGGAGCTCTTCCCGATTGCATGCATGACCTAAAATGCTGGGAAGATCATTTCGAGCACATCGCTAGCCCGCCAGCCGCATGTGGAACACATCTGCCCAAGTCGCTGCCCTCGTGCTGTTTGCAGCCCATGCAGCGCTCCAGATCAGGCGCCTCATCAAGGCCAAGGCCGAACTGCAGAGCGCAAAGGTAGGGTGCCATGGGGGTCTGCCTGCACCACAGCAGCGGGTGGCAGTGACTGCGGGTATTTCCGCCCTGCACACTGCACAGTGTACGGCCTCCAGCAGAGTCCATCAACACCCGGCTCCCCATCCTGTGCAGGAGGAGGCACTGTATGAGGCCAAGGAGCGGCGAGCGGAGCGAGCAGGGCGGGTGAAAGCCGAGGTGCGAAGCAAGGTGCCGCCCGCGCAACCTGCGGTTGTGCCACCATGCCGCGTGCCCTCACCCCATCAGCGCCTGCTGCTCTGCAGAGGGAGCTGCGCCAGCTGCAGCTGCGCCTGGGCCAGCTGGAAAGCACCAGCAGCTCGGGAGCCCCAGCAGCGCTTGCACCCGGCGGCGGCGGCGAGCAGCAGCATGCCAGCGGTGGCGGTGCCGGCAGCGGGGCCCTGGACCTGCTGGGCGTCGCCTTCCCGCTGCGCCCCGTGGGCATCCTGCGCTCCTGCTTCTCGCGCCGCAACGGCACGCCGCGGCAGCCGCTGCTGGTGCCCGCCGCGCGGGCGCGGCTCACACTGCGTCCTGGCTTGAGCGGCGACTTTTTGGAGGGGCTGGGGCAGTACAGTCACTGCTGGGTGCTGTACATCTTCCACGAAAACACAGACCTGCAGCGGCTGTGGCAGCCAGAGAGGGACAGCGGCGTGCGCGCCAAGATCAGGCGAGCGTGGAATGGTGGGCGGGGCGGGGGCTGGCCCCACAGGCAGCTGTCGGCATCTGGCTGCGTGGCGTGCTGCCCTCGTGCCTCTTTTGTTGGCTGGCACCACCTGCAGCTGTAGAATTGAGTTGGGAGTTGCTGCGTTTGCTGGCTGCGCTGCAGGGTGCCGCGCCTGGATGGCGGCAAGATGGGCGTGTTTGCCACTCGGTCGCCGCACAGGTGGGGTCCGTGGTGCTCGAGGCACGCATCCACCCACGCTGCTGTGCGGCTGCTGTGGACTCGCAGCCTGCGAGCATTCCCGCTGTCCGCCTGGCCTGACTGCCCACGAGCCCGCTGCTGCCGCCGCAGGCCCTGCCCCATCGGGCTGAGCGTGGCGCAGGTGGTGGCAGTGGAGGGTCGCACCCTGGTGTTGGGCGGCGCCGACATAGTGGATGGCTCGCCCATCCTGGACATCAAGCCCTTTGTGCCCTTCTGCGACAATGTCCATGCAGCGACGGCGCCCCCCTGGGTGGCGGCCAAGGTGCGGGGAGGCTGCTCGTTTGTTCTTGCTGCATGCTTTATTGTGGCAGCAAGCAGGCAGCTGTTGGGGACCACGTGGCTGCTGGGCTGCGCTGGCTGCAGGCGGAGGATGAGCCACTGAATGTGGGCACGCTGCGCATGCCGGCGCCGGCCGAGGCGGCGCTGCGCCGCGCTTTTACAAAACACGCAACGCAGCTGGGGCAGCGCTCGCTGTACTGTGGATTTGAGCAGTACAGGGAATTGGTGGAGCAGGTATTGTCTCGGGACATCCGCAGCCACACCCAGCGCATCAAGGTGCCGCAGCGTGCGCAGCAAGGCGGTCCCGCCGCGCTGTGCAGCTCAGGCAGCGGCCAAGGAGCGGCGCCGGTGGCGGCGGCGGCTGCGCAGCAGCAGGATGCAGCGGCGGCAGGGAGAGCAGGCACGGCAGATGCAGACATGGCGGGTGTGGTGCAGCAGCAGCACCAGGAGGGCTTTTGGAAGGTTGTGTTGGATGGCATCCAGGTCAGCTATGATGTGGAGGAAGGCAGCAGCAACGTGGTGGTGCGCACCGCGCGGCTGGCCACCGCCGCGGACGCGTAGGCAGCTGCGTGCCTCAATACAGCACCTGATGGTACGTGTAAGTGGATGCGTGGCACACCTGGTAGGGAGACCCTACCGCTTCAGGGATCAGGCTCAGCCCAGCAGAGTCGGTGGCGGCGGCGGCGACACGTCAGCTCCTATGGGAGGCTGGTTGGGCTTCGTGAAAACGATCCCACGCGTGTCATTCTTCTTCTTCTTCTTCCTGGCAGTGTAATTGCATGCGCCAGCCTGAGAAGCATGGGCGAGGGAGCAGCAGCGATACACGACCTTCCCGACCCTGTGCTGAGCAGGGTGCTGGCCGTGGCGGGCAAGCAGCAGGGGTGAGCTCTTTTGTTGATCGTCCACAGCGCATGCGAGCCGCCGCGCATCCGACTCGCTCAGTGATCCCCAGCCGCCGCCGCTTCCCCACAGGCCCGCCGTCACGCTAGTCTGCAAGCGCTTCCATGCCCTGTTCTTTGCGGAGCCCAGCCTGTGGCACTCCCTCCGCCTGGACTGCAAACCGCCTGGGCTGGCCGGCAAGCGGCGCCACCTGCAGCGCGTCGGCAGCTTGGTGGCTGAGCTGTCGGTAGCGCGCGCCGACCTGCTGCCCGCGATGAGCATAGTCGGCGGCGGCGGAGACCGCTGGACTCTGGGCGACGTCCTCGGCGCAGTGCAGCCGAGCAAGCTGTGGCTGGAAGGGCAGCAGCCCTGGCACCTGGAGCCCGGAGACGCCAGTGCCATCCAGGGGCTGACACAGCTGCGCCAGCTGGGCTGCTACGGGCCGGAGCCGCCCTGGGCGCTGCTGGACAGCCTGGAGCCTTTGCGGCAGCTCACAGCGCTGAGCATCGCCTGCACGGTGCTGGACATAGGCCGCCTCAGCCGGCTGACGCAGCTGCGCAGCCTGATCCTATACAGCGAGCGCTGCGCGCCGGCCGCGCCCGGTGCCCTGGCCGCCGGGCTGGCGGCGCTGACCAGCCTCAGCCGCCTGGACCTGCGCTCGTGCCGAGGCCTGCCGCCCCTCCAGCCCCTGACCGCGCTGCGCCAGCTGCGCCGCATGGCCGCGCAGCCGGTGGTGAGTCTGCCAGCGCCCACTGACATGGCAGGCAGCCTGGCCTTCTTCGAGTTTGAGGGCAACCAAGGGGGCCGGAACGGCTTCGAGGTAGGCAGCAGCCCATGGGGAAGGCAACATGCCTGCCTGCCTGTCTCCTGGCCACCCGCTGCTACCTCCCAATGGCGCTACGAACGCGTCGCAGCAACGGCAGCCGCTGTGCCGCAGCCCGGCCGACCGCCCTGGCCTGCAGCTGCAACGCTGAGGCCATGCCCTGCTGCCCCACGCCGTGCACGCTCAGGTGGGGCGTGCCCAGCTGACCCGCTGCCGCCTGACGTCGTGGAGCGGCGGCAAGGAGCGGGGCGCCGGCGCCGGCGCCACTGCCGCGCCTGCGGCCAGCCCGATCGCGTGCACGCTCTGTGTGACCGTCGCCTGCGTGCACAGCTGGGCCTCGCTGCTGGCGGCGCTGCTGCCGCCAGGCCTCGTGCTGAGGAGCCTGCGGGTCCAGGACAGCGACCTGGCCCAGGGCTGGCACAGGCACTGCTGCGCGCTGGATGGGCTGGAGGGGCTGGAGCTGCTGCGCTGCCGCAACCTGGAGGTGGCGCTGGAGGCCCTGCCAGCGCTGGCGCCGGCGCTCACCCGGCTGCACCTGGAGGCCTGCGACGTGGCTGGCCAGCTGCCGCCGGGCCTGCCGACCATTGCCAGCCTGCGCTCGCTGACCCTGCGCGAGCAGCACCTGTCGGCGCTGCCTGCCGGAGCCTACCTGCGAGGTGCGTGTGGCTGGGGCTGAAGGCAGCCCTTTGGCGCGGCCAGCCGCGGCTCTGCTTGTTTGCTCAGCCTGGCAGGCCGCCTCTGTCCGCCCACAGCTGTACAGTCATTGGGTGGTTGTTTCGTCCGTCCTGCAGGGCTGACAGCTTTGGACCTGTCTAATAACTGCTTCCCCGAGGTGCCGCCGGCGCTGGCAGCAGCCACCGCGCTGCGCCAGCTGTCCCTGCGCGCCAACCAGCCGCCGCTGGAGCGAGGCGAGGTGCTCCAGGCGCTGCCAGGGCTGGCGCTGGAGCAGCTGGAGGCCGGCAAGAGATGAGACCTTGTTCGCAGCCCATTCCATGCGCTGAGGTTTGCCTGCCTGGTCCCCCATTTCATGCACTGAGGTTTCGCCCATTCATGCGCTGAGGTTTGCCTGCCTGGTCGCCAGATTCCCTGCATGGCGACCCTGCTGTTGAGTCCCCCTCCTGCCTGCAAACCTCAGAGGCTGTACACATGCCTTACAAGAGAAGACGCAGAGTCCCCAGGTGCCCCCTCAAAAACAAGTGTGGCACGCCGAGTGCGGGGCTGCTGGAAAACATGGCAGGAGCAGGGAGCATGGACAGGATGCTCGGCAGCGGAAACAGACAAGAAGGGAATGAAAGCGGGATGACATGGTGGTTGGCCTTGGCTTGGGGATGTGGGTGCGATTGGGTGCCGGCAGGCAGGGCACGCGCCTGCAGCATTATTGCCGGCTCACGCCTCGCCCGTGGGAGCCGGGGCCGGGGCGGGCGCGCCCTCGGCGGTTGCGGGAGCGCCCTCGGCGGTCGCGGGCGCGCCTTCGGCGGCAGGGAAGCCCGCCGCAGCGCCCGGCACGAGGCCAGGGAAGCCCGGAGGCATCATGAAGGCCGGCGCCCCTGGCTGCGCGGCGTACAGCAGCGGCAGCTGCCCCAGCTGCTGCGCCTGCTGCGCCAGCTGCTGCTGCCTGGCGGCGTCCCCGCCGGCGTCGGCGCCTCCCAGCGCGCCAAACAGCGTGCCGCGCGCCTCGCTGCTCGACAGCGGCGCCTTGCCCTGCACGCACACAGGCAGGCAGGGAGCGGGTGGACACCTGGCCGCAGCTGGCGGTCTTCGACACTGAGGCGGTCATTGACACTGAGGCTGCCTGGCAGCCAGCTTTGGCAGGCAGACCAGCCAAAAGGCAGCTCGGGGTGAGCCAGCTGGCCCAGCAGCAGCAGCAGCAGCAGCAACCGCCGCGGCACTGCGTACCCCCTGGGGCCTATAGTGCCTGTACCTTGTCCGCGGCCCGCCCCTCGTCCTCCTGGGGCGAGTCGCCGCCGCCCTCCTCGCCCTCGCGGCGCGCCCGCTTGGCGGCAGGCTCCCCGCCGGCGCTGCCAGGCGCAGGCGCAGCCATGGCCGCCTCACCTGCCGCCACGGCGTGCGCCGCGGCGGCGGCGGCAGCAGCCGCTGTGGCGCCGTCGGCTGCAATCAGCTGCCCATCGGCTCCCACCAGCTGGCCGGTGACCTGCGGCGGCGGCGGGCAAGGTGGTTGGTCGGCAGCTGGCACTAGCAGCAAGCTTTGCCTGGGCTGCCACTGTGCACGCCGCTGTCCCTCTCTCTTCCTGCGCAAGAGGTACCCTTTCCGCCCCACTTTCCCCGTGGCATTGGCAGCAAGGAACAAAGGCAAAGCGCTCACCGGCGGCAGCCCCATCGACATGCCCTGCATGCCTCCCAGGAAGGCCATCATAGAAGGGTTGCCATCCAGGCCCATGACAGGCACGTACTGCAGGCAGGGGGCAGTACAGACAGGCAATAGGTACATCGGCGCCCAGTTTGGCGCCCAGTTTGGCGGGCAGGGACACGGGACGGCGCGCCACGCCGTGAACAGAGTGCTTCTGTGCACGACCAGAGCACACGAAGCCATTGACCCTGTGCATGACGCCACCCTCCAGCTGGCGCTGCCCAACTTTGCCACTCAAGCAAACCAAGACCAAAGCAAAAGGCCCGCACCTGCAGCATGTTGAGGCCGCCCACGCCGCCCGTCAGCACGTCAATCTGCCCCTTGGCCTGGCTCTTCAGCCCAGCCAGCGCCTGCTGCATCTCGGGCGGAGCTGCAGCACAGGGCGGGCCACCAGGCGAGGGCGGGCAGGCAGAAGCCGATGGTCAGCAGCAGTCCGAAGATGTACCGCATGCACCGGAGGCCGCGGAGGGGTGCCGGTCGCAGCGTGCAGGTGTCTCGGCACTCCAGCCGATGCCCTGCCCCTCCCAGCCGTCGCCCTGCCACGCCCCGCGCTCACTCGTGTTGGCCTTGCTGGTGGCCACCGCCAGCACATCACACAGGTGCTTCCAGGCATCATACTCTGACAGCCGGTCCAGGTCCAAGGTGGCGGAGGCGCCGCTGCGGCCGCGGCGCACCTGCGGGGCGGAGAAATCGGGAGGAAGCAGGAAGGGCGGGCGGGTGGGTTGGACGGGACAGGGGGCGGTGGTTGCAGGGGCAGAAGGCGGCATGGAGATGCAGCTGCAAGGCCGCAGGGCAGGCAGCGCAAGGGTGTTGAGCCATCACGGCGCTGCTGCCGGCGCTCACCACGGCCTCGCCCTCGGCGCCGCGCTTCACTGTGGGCAGCTGCGGGATGGGCTGCGGGATGGGGTTCTTCTCCGCTTCCCGCACGCCCATCAGGCTCAGTGGCAGCGGCCAGCAGTGCGGGTGCACGCCGATGGCCTGCAGCTCCGAGTCCAGCGCTTCCCAGCTGCGGGGGGCACGGCACGGCACGGCACGGGACGGGGGGAGGGTCTGGGAGGGAGGCGGGCAAGCCGGGGCACGGGCGGGCGGCGGGCGGCAGGGAAGACCAGCAGACGCGACCATCGTCGGAGGGCAGGAGGCAGGCAGGAGAGAGCGCCCCCGGCCCCTCTCTTTCCACGACCCTGCCCACCAATACACACAACGAGTGCAGAACAACGCCGCCGAGCTCACCTGCGCCCGGGCTCCCGCTTGGCGCACTTCTTGGTCGACTCCTCATCCACCGGCCGACCCAGCGCCCAGCTGAACAGCTCAGACACGTACGAGTACCAGCCGTTGGGCACCTGCGGGCAGGCGGGGAGCAGGTGTGAGGTGGAGCGGAGAGCAGGCAGGGGTCGGGCAGGCGGCTGGTCATGGAGGAGCACGGGCAGGGCCCCTAGCCGCGGCAGCGTGACCTTGCGGAGGTGGCGCAGCCGCCCCGAGGCGCAATGCACAGCAGGCGGCAGCAGTGCTGCAGCTGAGCGAGCAGCGGGCTGTGCTGAGTAGCGGGCCGTGCTGAGCAGCGGGCCGTGCTGGGAGCGGCTCACCCCCCAGGGCGGGCGCGGCGCGTCCCCCAGCGTCTTCTCCAGATAGTTTTTGATCTGCTCCTCGCTGATGCGGTTGCCGCCGCCTGCCTCCTCGTTGGCGCCAATGTAGGCGATGGACTGGGGCAGCAGCTGCAGGGAGAGGGGCGGGGCGGGGCAAGGCGGGGCAGCAGGCACAGGGGCGGAATTGTGAGGGGGGCTCGAGGATCAAAAGGGGGACAACAGCCTGGGCTCGTCACCCTTGGCTGTGCTGCGCCGCACGGCTTCCGGCCCGAGCAGAGGTGTGGCGCTCAGGGCGCCTGCCTCCCGCTCCCGGCAGGGTCGCGCGTCGCCCTGCCAGGTCAGCGCGGTGGGCCGCCAGCTCAGCGCCGCGCACCTTGACCAGTATGCGCACGAGCTGTCGCATCTCGTCCATGGGCCCGCGCCGCGTGGGCTTCCCGCTCTTGCTGCGCGGCCCGGGCTGCTCCGACACATCTGCCTCCATGGTGTGGGGCACCTGTAGGGGAGGAGGAGGGCGGAGGGAGGGAGGAGCGGGCGGAACGCGGAGGGAGCGAGGTTGGCGAGGTGGGCGAGGGCGTGCGAGGCACAGCATGAGCAGGCGGTGGGGCCAGCTGCCACTTTGCAGGCAGGCCGGCACGGAAAGCAGGCACGGGAGCAGGCAGGCAAGGCAGGCAAGGTGGGAGGGCGGGCGGGCAGGCAGGCGGGCTGGCTGGCGAGGCGGGCACGCACCGCCATTTGGGCCCAGTCCATGCCCAGCATGCCAGGCATGAGTGCCATCATCTGTTCCATGGGCAGCACGCCGCCCACCGCGGCCGCCGCGGCGGCCGCCATCTGCTTCTGCTGCTCCTCTGCGGCCGCTGCGGCCGCCGCGCTGGCGGGCGTGGCGCCCGGCGGCAGGGTGCTCATGTTTTGGGACTCTGGGAGCAGCGGGGCGGGGATGTCGGCGGGCTGTGAGGCCTGCTGGAAGGTGAGCGGGTTGGGCGGCGGCTCGATGAGCGATTCCTGGGAGAAATGGGCGGGCTTCTGGTCGCGCTGCAGCTCCTTGTCCGCAAAGTCGGACAGCTGGCTGAGCTTGGAGATGTCCACGCCTGTCGCGCCTGCCTTGCCTGCCGCGGCCGCTGCTGCGCCCGGTTGCACGCTGCCGCCTGCCCCGTCTGCTTGCTGGTTTGCGTCTGCAGGGGCCTCTCCTCCCCTCAGCAGCTGGCCTAGCTCGTTCACCGCCGAGGCCATCTACGGCTCAGGCCGCCAGCATACACCGCTGGCTGCCTGGGGGCAGTGATCGTCCGAGGCGTGCGCCTGGAGGGCCCTGGGAGGCCGGCTGGGCAGCCCCACGCCGCGATCCTTCGCGGAGCGTGGTGGGCAGGCGCGTGCGGCGGGCCTGCTCAAAGTCTCACGCGGCCAAGGGCGCCAGCGGAGAAACGTAGACCGTGCTGTGCTGTGAAGCTCGCTCAAAGCACAGCACCTAGCAAGCACAGCACCCAGCACTCTGGGCAGGCTTGTCAGGCAGGGCAGCACCCCCCTGGGTCCCACGCCGCAGCACCTTCTGGAGCCCCCTGCGCGGTGCGCCAGCTCGTTTGCCCATGACTGACTCCCACAGCACGCCTTTGAGCGAGTTGGAAGGCTTGGGGGGAGCCCAGGCCATGGCGCCTCGGCAGCGGCGCCCTGCCGCCATCTCGCTCCACACCGAATCCCGTGCTTTACAAGGCCCCCTGTTGGCTAAACTTCTGCATCCATCCAAAAACTCACTGGCAGGGACGCGCGCGCAAGGATCAAGCAGCAAATGTCCGTGGGCAGGCAAATGCGCGGCGGCCCGGGCGCCAGAGCCATAGCCGCTTGCTTGGCAGCCTCGCCAGGCCCCTCCGCAGCCGCTCCCCGTCCCTGCATCGCCACCAGCGCCTCGCGAGCCGCGCGCTGGAAGGCGACGGGCCACAGCCGGTGGCTGGCGGGGCTCCAGCCCGGCTGTCCCACCGCCAGCGCCAGGCGCCGGTGCACCAGCACCTCGAGCAGGCTGCTCTGCCGGCCGAGGCCACAGTGCTCGGCCAGGAAGTGGCGGCAGGGCGCCCTAGCGCCCACCAGCAGCTCCACCAGGCACAGCAGCTGGCGCTCGGTGGCGGCGCCGCTGCCGTCCGTCAGCACGCTGTTCAGCTGAATCATGCGGGCATCGGAGCACGACTCCAGCACCGCATCCAGTGCCGACCGCCCGCGAAGGTCGGTGGCGCCTGCACGCCAGGAGCGAGGCGTCTCCAGTGGCGGGGGTGTCCCCTGCTCTGCCATAATCCTGACGCAAAGCCCCATCGCCTACTGCCTTGAGGCTGTGCACGCATGGAAACTGAGCGGCAGCACCACCACGACTCACCTGCATCGGCCCCCGCCTCCAGCAGAGCCCTGCAGCGCGCGATGTCCAGCCGGCCTGCTGCGATCACCAGTGGTGGGCAGCCCGTCGGTGCCGGCACAGGCCCCGCCGGGCACCCGGCAGCCAGCAGCAGCTGCAGCGCCGCCAGCGAGGAATGGCTCACTGCAAAGTTGGCTGGGCTGAACTGCAGCTGGTGGGCAAGGGTGCCGACGTCGAGCCCCACAGCAGCCCGGGGCTGCTGCTGCGCCTGCTGCGCCTGCTGTGGTGCTGACGCGCGACCCGCAGCGGCAGGCGCGGCTGGGCCCGGCAGCAGCAGCTGCTGCAGCAGGCGCTCCCGCCCCGGCAGGAGCGCGGCCTCCAGCAGGCGCCGAGCGGCGGCCGGGTGTCCGGGAGAGTTTGGGTCCAAGCCTGCAAGGATGGTGGGCGGCCTGAGGCGCGCGGTTGGGCCGCTGGGCAGCGCCGAACTCGCTAGGCGGCAGACACTGCCGGCTTGGTCCCCCAGCGTGGGCCCAGGCGGCAAGGGAAGACATCCGCCCGGCGCGTGGACCGGCCCAGGCTCACCTCCCTCCATCAGCGCCCGCACAAGGCCTTCCTCCAGAGGCCCCGCCATGCCCACAACGCTGCGCTGCACCGCGGCCAGCAGCGGCCGCGCGTCGCTGCGCAGCCCCGCCGCCAGCAGCGCGGCCGCCACGTCTGTTCTGACATCCACCACGGCACGTGCCAGGACCAGGTCGCTGAGCCCCGAGGCGCTGGCCCCAGCCCCCAGCAGGCACAGCAGGATGCTGCAGCTGGTGTGGCAGCAGGCGGCCGCCAGCGGGCAGGTGTGCCCCTGCATGCTGCGCTGCGCCGCCTCCTGGCTGCCCCAGGCGGCACCGCCCTGCTCCTGCTCCTGCCCTCCTGCCATTGGCGGCCCAGCCGCACGCGTGGAGCGACACGCCTGGCAGGGCCCGCCACAAGGGCTGCCGCCGCAGGCCAGCAGCAGCCGCACCGCCTCCAAGCTGCCCGCCGCCGCTGCAAGGCTCAGCGCCGTTCTGCCGGCCGCATCTGGCACCTCCAGGCACGGCCCACCCAGCAGCCGCTCGGCCGCCAGCGCTTGCAGCAGGCGCAGGCTCGTGCTGCCGTCCTGGGCCAGGCAGCGGCAGAGGGCGTGCAGCGGGGTGTCGCCACCGGCGCCCGCCCGCGCTGCCAGCAGGCGGGGAATGTGCCGCGCCAGGCACACCAGCACCTCAATGCACCCAGTGCTGGCAGCAGCTGCATGGAGTGGTGTGCGACTGGAGCTGTCGGTGGCTGCCGCATCTGCGCCTTGGTTGAGCAGGAGGCGCACCAGCCTGGGGGCGGCGGCGTGTGCTGCCGCTGCTGCCAGGTGCAGCGCGCCATGAGCATCTGCCCCGGCGAGCAGAAGGCATTCTGCGGCGCCCAGCTGCCCGTGCACCACGGCACAGTGCAGGGCGGTGCGCCCATCCGGCCCCGCAGCATCCAGCAGGTGTGCGTCCGCCACCAGCAGCTGCTCCAGGGTGTGCACGTCGCCGGCAGCCGCTGCAGCCTGCACCTGCTGCACTGCGTCGTCCCACTCCTGCTGCTGCTGCGCCTGGGGCATGGAGCAGTCGCGAAACGGGCTGGGCCGCGGGTGGGGCAGCCGTGAGGGTGGCGGCCGCCGAGCGACGGCGGCGGTGGCGTCAGCGGTGGTGGCGGCGCTGCTTGTGCCGATGTTCCCCGAGGCTACAGGCAACGGCGCTACTGGTTCGCTGCTCTCCTGCAGCTGCAGCCTGACTCCGCAGATGGCCCGCTCTTTGAGCCACTCCCGGCGCCGCATGTGGGGCGGTTGCCGCCGGCGGTGGAGGGGTCGCGGCCGGAGGGTGTTGCGCAACGCCGCACGCTATATCCCGTGACTCGGGAACTTGCTGTTCGAAAGACTGAGGCGCTGCAGCACTACTGTCTGGCCGTGCCTGCCCATCGCCGCTCCCCGCTTGTACGGTTACTGGCACTGGCGGGCCTGCGCTTCCCCAGAAGGCAATTGGAGGCAGTCACGCTGCAGACAGTAGGGTGAGATGAGCGCGGGGAACACTGGGCGCGGGGGAAGCGGCGGCAGGCGAGGCGGGACACGACGGGACGTGAGGCGCCGACTGCATTTGGTGAGGGCTGCCCAGAAAGGGCTGCCCAGGAAAGGCGCTCTTTGTAACCTGAGCAGCTTGCAAATTATCCAATGCTCCACTCCTTGCAAAGTACATCAATCAAAGTCTTGCAGAGCTCAACATGCGCATGCCCTATTGACGTGCAGGGCGGGGGCTGGCGGGCACAGCTGCTGCCCGTCATGACAAACCGGCTCTCCTCCAGGGACAGCTTGCTCATCCAGATGGTCTACAGTTGTGGCGGGTTCGCTGCCAATCGAGGAGGCCTCCAACATTTTGCGAGTGCCACGTCGAACACCGCTGGCGCGCCAAATGGCAACCGCGGGGCGTGCCATGTTCAAGTAAGCTGCACGCAGAAGGCATAGGACAATGCAGACGGCGCAGCAGCAAGGTGTCAAGGCGGGGCACAACCCTCCTGCCCCTGTCCAGCCCTGCCGTCGCAGCAGCGCCCCGAGACCAGCATGCGCTCGGCGGCGGCGCGCAGGAGCCACCCGCGCCACCGCCGACCCAGCGGCGGCGCCGCCGACGGGCTCCGCCGCTGCCACCGACCTCCAGGCGCTGAAAGAATGGGCGCCCACCTGCGCAGCGCTCGCTGCCGGAGAGCAGACGGTGGGTGGAGGCTGCATGCGCGGCTACGGACTGGGCACGGCTGGAAACGGCAGCGCCCTGCCTCTGATCCGCTCCCTGCCGCTGCTCACCTCTCGCTTGCTGGGCCCTCACTGCTCCTCGCCATGCTGCCGTTCACGCCGCCCTGCAGATCCTGCTGCGCAAGGGGGGCATCAGGGAGCCCACCTTCACGCCCGCCGCCCGCGAGTTCCTGCTCTTCCCAACCAGCTTCCACACAGAAGCCGAGGTGGGGCAGGGCTGGTGCCCCCTCACCTGCGGCCCGCCCACCCTGCCGGCACAGGTGGCCAACAAGCCCTGTGCTTGCCCTCCCACCTCCTTCTCCCCCGCCCCGCTCTGCTGCAGCTGCTGAAGCCGGCGGCGGCGCAGCGGTACGCTGCGGAGGTGCGGTATGACCCCAGGGCCCACCCGCGCCTCACCTTTGCCACCGCCGCCGCCGTCACCGGCGCCTGGACCACCGTTGACCCGGCGGTCCTGCAGCTGCTGGACGAGCTGCACGTGTGGGGGCCGGGGTTTCTGGAGAACCGGCTGCGGTGGCGGGCGCGGCAGCCCATCACCGTGCTGGAGCTGCGGGCGTACCGCCTGCACTCGCCGCTCGTACTGCCCGCAGAGGACCACTTCTGGGGCTGCTTCTCCTGGGTGGGGCTGGGCAACCCCCAGCCGCTGGCTGCGGCGGCGCAGCAGGGGCAGCTGGCGGCGGCGGGGGCGCCGGCGCTGCAGGACGCCGCGTTTGCGGCCAAGCAGCAGCTGTGCAGGCGGCAGCTGGCGCAGCTCGCAGATCTGCAGGAGCTGAGCCTCTGATGCCGCCTCCTCGCAGCGGGGGCGCCTTGTTGGTTAGCTGAGCTGCTGCTAGATGGGGATGCCTCTGCTTTGGACCTTGCCTCGGGCTGCCTGCTTGAGACTAGTTGGCTGCCGCAGCTGCCTGAATGCTTTCATGTGGTGCGATGCGTGTCTTAGCATGCGCTACTCGATCCGCTCATTCATCTGCTCCAATCAAAACCATGCAAGCATAATGACTGTACACAGGTGCAGTCCTCCTGGGCCCTCGCAGCCGCCAGGGTCAGCTGCTGCCGCTGCTGGGCCCAGCCCCTGCCACCAGCTGCGCGCACTGCTGCTTGTGCCCGCCCTCCTTCCAGTGCCTGGCGTGGCAGGCACGGCTGCAGTAGGCCACCGCGCGGCAGCGGCTGCACTTCTTCAGACTGGTGGATAGCTGCCCACAGCCGCTGCACACAAGCACAGGAGGCGGCGGTGCCGTCATGTACACACTGTCGATGGCGGGCAGCGTGCTTTCCCCTGGCCTGCGGGCTGCCAGTTCAGCAAACTCCTGCTTTTGCTCCCGCAGCCTTTTCTTCTGGGCTGCCAGATAGTTTTGAGCCAGCCAAGGCTTGCAGAGGTTCAGCGCTTGCTCCGCATCTGCCAGCAGCCCCTGCACCTCCTCGCGAGACCAGCGCGGCCCGGCGGCTCCGCAGATCAAGGCGCCTGCCAGGCTGATGCCCAAAGATGCCTTCAGGGTGTGTTCTGCACAGGTTGCAGGAAGCACAGCTTCAGCAGGCTGGGGCTGGCGAGATGGTGAAGATAATTGGCGGTGCGATTGCACATCTTGGCACGAGATCGTGTGCGGCGGAGCCCCCCATCCATGCCTCACCTTTCTGCTCCTCCGCCTTGCGCAACGCCTGGCGGTAGAATGCCACCCCTTCGGCACCAGTCCCTGAGCGGTACAGCATCCTTATGCTGCTGTACAGCGAGTGCAAGTGGCCTGCTGCTGCAGGGTTGAGATCCACCAGCTGCCTATTCGCTGCCAGCGCTGTGTCGAGCCGGTGGCGCGCCTCGGGCGCCCCTGGCTCCCGGAACAGCAACTCCTCAGCCACATACATCTGCTGGTACAGCCAGACCATGCGCACCTCTGCTGCAATCACCACCGGGCTGCACCCAACCCGGCGCTGGTGCCGCTCCAGCGCGGCTGCTGCTGCTGCTGTGGTCGCTGCCCAGTTGGTTGTTCTGTTGGCAACCACGGGCAGGTGGTGCCGCAGGTCAAGAAGCTCCGTCCTACCCCTGCCCTCGCCAAACAGAACATAGGATACTGTGGACGACAGCAGCTCCATGAGGGGCGAAAACATCTGGAACGCAAGGGCAGACGAGCGCTGCTTGAGTGCAGCCACAATCAATGAGCAGGCATGAATGCTGCAGGCCGTTTAAACAAGGGCTGCTTTTGCAGCATCATTCCACCCATGCGGCAGCAAGGCGTACTTCCAAGCTAGCAATCGCCGCCGTGAGTGAGGCGCGGCACTGTGGATGCAGGATGAAGTTCATTTGCATGGTAGGCGCAACGCGCAGCTCCTGGTGAAGCAACAAAACCAGGCCCTGCATTCAATGGACCAGTTCCATAGTGCGGCGTCACAGGGTGGGACCTAATGCAGGGAGAGATGGCATCGAGCCACAGGCACCTGCCAGGGCTGCACACCTGCTGCGTCTCCTGTGCCGTCAATCCCTGCCTCCGGTTCCCGTCCTTGTCAAGGAAGAGCTGGTGCAGCTGAACTGTCAGATCCATGCCCTCCACGAACAGCTGCGACCGCGAGGAAGGCAGGGCAAACAGGCACCAGGGCAGGTGGAAACTGACAATGCTGCCGCCAACTGCGGCAGCGTGCAGCGGCGAGCGGAGCACCACACCTGCAGGTCCCGGCTGCCACGATGATCCTCGGACTCCTGCAGCAGGCGCCTGCCGCGCTCCACCCGGTCCCTGTCGAATTCGCTGAGAGGGTGCCAAGGCATAGCAGCGCCGCTGCAGAGGCACCCGAGCCCACTGCCCTGGCAGCACCCTGTGGCCAGTTCGGGGCGTGTGCTGGACAAGGGGTGCAGGGTTTGGTGGGTTCTCCTCTGATCAGGGGCAGGCCATGAGGCCGGCTGGACCTGACTGGCAATACATGGCATGGGGGCCCTCGAGATCACCCAGGGCTCCTCGCCTGCCTCAGGATGGCAGCCTGTGAGTGCCTGCTGATCTCCCTGGGCAGCGGCAGGGCGGCAGCGGCAGAGCGGTGGGCGATGGCGTTGCAGCCAGAACCCTGTTGCTGTGTGCTTCCGCTGCTCCTGCTCATATATCCTCATTGGTAGACATCGGCTGCTACCAGTCGGCGGCGCTGATCCAACGAATACAGCAGCAGCCTCCTTCAGGCACGGCCGCCCACCAGGTGAACGGGCTGGCGGGTCGAAGCGACGGCAAGTCGCTCAGATCAGATGCACAATCGCTAGGGAACAGGACCTTAATCAGCAGGGCGCAGCTGGCCGCTGGCTGCGCTTGCTGCCAGCTTGGTGTCCCTGTCCCAGCCGAGCAATCGGTCGGCAGGCGCTGCGAGCACCTGCCACACCGCAACCACATTTCCAGACTAGCGTTGTTTTGCCGTTGATGTCACTGCTTGCTGTGCACTGCAGACGCCAGTCTTGTTGGCATGATGCTGCTGCAGTCTGGCACCTGTGCATCATGCACCCGATGATCCGGCTCCGCAGGCTGTGGTTGCACCGCCACCATGCGCCGGCGCCAGCGAGGTGGGGGCGAGGTGGGTTGCCTGCCCGGCAGGTGTTGGCCAGAGCAGCCTGCAGGTCAGCTGAGTACGCGTGCCTGATGGAGAGCACGTCTGTAGAGCTGTGAGGGCGCCATGAAAGGCCTCCTTGCCGCACTCCATGGCGGCGCCTTGCGGCTCTGTACGGCATGTTATCCCCTCAGTGAGTGCTGCTTTCTGACGTCTGGGCCCCTGAATGAAAGGAGGGCGCTGCTGCGTGCTGTGGACCTACGTGGCCCGCGAGTCGTTCCCACCAAAATGCCAGATCCTGCTCTTGCACGGCCATTCTTCCCGATTTGTCCTACCCCATCACTTGTACCACCCTCAATTCACCTCAATTATCCCCGTTTAGAGCTACATTCACCAAACTCCGACATCCGGTCTCCATGACGCCGGCCCTGGCGATGCCGCCGCTGCCGCTGGACCTGCATGCCGCCGAGGAGATGCAGGTCGAGGTGCGCTGTGCCGGGCGCAGCGCAACACGCCGACATGCGGGCTGATCTTGCGCCTCCATGGATGGCGGTTGGGCGCGGTCAACATGGATTGCGCAGCCTGCGACCACTGGTGGCCGCTCCCACGCCTGTCAGACCCAACAACCGCCCCAATTTGGCTTTGCAGGGCGAGTGGAAGGTGGCCGCTGCGCCGCCGTCCAACCCGGCGTCGGCTCGCAAGCTGGTCATGCGCACTCCCCGCCAGCACGCATCTGCCGCCGCCAACACCAACAAGTTCATCTGCGAGGCGAGTTGGGTCGCCTGGGGGCGGAGGGACGTAATGTATCCCTGATAATCGGTGTGGGGCCAGGGGCTTTTGGCACGTCCCGCCGAGGCGCCAGCGCCTGGTGGCCGCCCCTATGTGACGGCGGCTTCCTCTCCCCACGGCGCACTCGCTTTCTGGCCCTCGCTCTGTCCCGTCCTGCAGGCCCTGGAGCATCTGGACCTGGCCCCCTCCCAGCGCCGCCTGCTGATGAGCCCGCAGCGCGAGGTGGCGGTGACGCTGAGCCTGCTGCGCGACAGCGGCGAGGTGGCCACCTTTGACGCCTACCGCGTGCAGCATGACAACAGCCGCGGCCCCTTCAAGGGCGGCTTGCGCTTCCACCCACACGTCGACCTGGACGACGTGCGCAGGTGAGACGCACGCGCAGGCCATCCCGACACTCACTCACTTGCTCGAAGCTTTGCTGCCCCTCTTCATCGCCAGTCTCGCCACAGTTCCCCTCCCGCTCCCCATCTCGAAGCTGCCCCTCCCCTCTGCCCGCTCCCCTCCCACCGCACCGCAGCCTGGCCTCCCTCATGACCTGGAAGACGGCGGTTATGGACATCCCCTTTGGCGGCGCCAAGGGGGGCGTGTGTGTGGACCCGTCTGAGCTCAGCACCCGCGAGCTGGAGATCCTCACGCGCAAGCTGACCCAGGTGCGCGCCGCCATGAGCAGGGAGGGAGGGGCATGGATGGGCAGGCCGGCAGCGAGGCTGGCAGGCGCCTGCTGCCCTCCCTTCCCCACCCTCTTGCCTTCCCCCCCTTACCGGCCCTCGTGCCCTGCCCTACCCGGCGTCCACGCTGCCCCTTCTCAGCCCCCACGAGCCCGCACGCCGCCCTGCCCCCCCAAGCACTGACCTCATGCCGCCATCTGACCCCTGCAGGCGCTGCGCCCCGTGCTGGGTGACCACACCGACATCCCCGCCCCCGACATGAACACGGGCGCCCGCGAGATGGCCTGGTTCTTCGACGAGTTCTCCAAGACCGCGGGCTTCACGCCCGGCATCGTCACGGGCAAGGTGCGCGCGGCAGCGGGCCGCCGCCGGCTCTGGTCTGGTCCCCCCCCCAGGAGCGCCACGCGCCCCGCCTGTGTTCCTTGTTGGACGCCGGGGCATGAGCAAGTGGTCTACATGACGCTGCTTGGCTTTACTGACCCCAAACCTTTGTGTCCCCTCTCCCTTCCCCTCCCCGCTCATGTGCCCCCGCCCGCCCGCAGCCCGTGTGGCTGCACGGCTCGCTGGGCCGCGAGGCGGCCACCGGCCGCGGCACCGTCTTCGCCATTCGGGAGCTGCTCAAGGCGCAGGGGCAGGGCGAGATTGCGGGCAAGAGCTTCGTCATCCAGGCGCGTGCCCGCTCCCCTCCCCCGTGCCACACGCCGTGCTTGCCCAACCAGCCCAGCCAGGCACAGCCATTCCTCCTGCTGCTGTATCTGTTCTGCCTGACGATGCGGATGTGCTCACCTCGCCTGCTGCCCTGCCTCCTCCTCTCCTGCCTGCAGGGCTTTGGCAACGTGGGCTCCTGGGCCGCCCAGATCCTGCACCAGCAGGGCGGCCGCGTGGTGGCGGTGGCCGACGCGTTTGGCGCTGTGGCCAACCTGGAGCGGGGGCTGGACATCCCGGCGCTGTGCCAGCACCTGGCCGCCAAGGGCGGGTGGGTCCCTCCTCCCTCTCTCTCGCTTTCCTGCCGATCACGGAGAGGCCGCCTGTGCATGAAGGCGGATCTGGGGAGCGGCAGCAGCCCGCACAGCCAGCGCTGCTGCCACATGCCGCTCCTCACCGCCCTGCCTGCGCCCTCCCTCCGCGCAGCCTGGCCGCCTTCCCCGGCGGCACCGAGATGGCCAAGGAGGCGATCCTGGCGGTGCCCTGCGACGTCCTCATCCCCGCCGCCATCGGCGGCGTGATCACAGAGGACAATGCCCACACCCTGCAGTGCAAGGTGGGTGTTGGAGGAGGGTGTGTGGTGAGGGCTGTGGCTGTCGCTTGGACCAGCTGTGCCTGATGGTACAGCAGCCATCCCTCGCTGCCACGTGGCATTCTCACCGGTTCCGTGCTGACCCTGCAACCCACCACTCCCTCTCACCCTCCCGCAGATTGTGGCGGAGGCGGCCAACGGCCCCACCACCCCCGAGGCGGACGCCGCGCTGCGCCGCCGCGGCATCGCCGTGCTGCCCGACATCTACTGCAACGGCGGCGGCGTGACGGTGTCCTACTTTGAGTGGGTGCAGAACCTGCAGAACCTGCGGTGGAGCGAGGAGGAGGTCAACAGCCGGCTGGACCGCGGTGAGCGGGGCTGGCTGGCTAGGGCTGGCTGGCTGGCTGGGAGCCGCGCGTGCTGCCGCTGGAGGCGGGACGGTGGAAGCGAGCTGCTTGTGCTGTGGCAGCACAGCCCCACTCACCGTGCTCGCTCCCCTCCCTCCCGCCTGCTTGCAGTGATGACGGATGCCTTCCGTGCCATCTGGCAGCTGAGCCAGCGCGACTCTATCCCGCTGCGCGTGGCTGCCTTTGCCATCGCCCTGGAGCGGGTGATGCAGGCCCGCATGAACCGCGGCTTCGACTGAGCTTGAACACAAACAAACCGTGGTGGCTCTCCAGTGGTGCCGTCTTGAGTTACGCCCGCCTTGCTGCCAGCACCTTGCGAGGGCCCCGGCCCTTGCGCCTATGTATTCCACCAATGCTTGCCCTGTATTGCCCTGCACTTGTCTCGCCCGTACTTCCTTCGGCTCCGCCTAGCTTACAGCCCTCCCCTTTTGCCGCCCACACACGCGATGCCCTGATTCCTACATCCGGTTTGTCCTGCTTGCTTTATGTATCGATTCCTCCTCTCATGCACCTCCCAACTAGCTCTCAAGTGCCTGTCTCATGTACCAATATGCCCACTATTCTTTCCGCGATGCTGCGGCTCAATGCTTGACCCACCATCGCCGACTGCCTGCCTGTACATGGCCGCCGCCGCGCCCTTGCGCACGCCCCCTCGCACGCCTCCCAGCGTGTGGCTGGGGGCTGTTGCTTTGTTGTTAACTTCCAACCCTGTAATTTGAACTCAATTACAGTTACAGATCAGGGAGCTCCTTCAAAAGGGCGGGTGGGCCTCTCCGTCACATATGGGCACCAACTCTCACGATCGCCTGCTGTGCCTACCGCTCAGCGCCGCCCAGTACGGCCATGCGCATGCGGGCGTAGTCAAAGAGCAGGGAGCAGCGGCCCAGCAGGCCTGCGCACACAATGCCGCTGGTGTGCTGCGACAGTGACAGCCCAGCGCCGCCGCCGCCACCACTTCCGCCGCCGCTATGGAACACCGCCGTCACGGGGCTGAGGGTGGTGGCGCCCAGCCGCGCCTCTGCCAGCTGGCAGCGCTGCGCAGTCAGGCGGTCCGATGCGCCGCTGCCGATGCCCTTGATGTGCGTGGTGCCGCCACCCGCAGCGGCGCTGCCCTGTCCCAGCTGCAGGCTGCGTGCCGCCTTGGGGTTGACAATGACATCAAAGCCGCCCGCCCCTGCACCACTCCGGACGTAGCCATGAGCGGGAAGGGTCAACATCAGCTGCTAGGAATTGGAACTGCCATCCTTTGCTGAACAGCTGTGCTGCAAGGCCACTCTCTAGTCCCACCACACCACTCAACACCTACCCAACCGGTGCATGACGAGCAGCCCTGAAGACCCCACAAACACACACATGCACATGCACGCTGCTGGCGCCCCTCCTCCTCACCAGAGTCCAGCATGAACAGCCCGCTGTGGCGCCGCCCCGAGGCGCTCACCAGCTCCAGCTCCACATGAGGCAGCCCAGCCACCATCACCAGCGGCAGCCACCGCGGCTCCTGCTGCTGCCGCACCCCGCCTGCACCGCGCGCCACCCCTTGCGACCGCCTGCCGGCACGAGTGGCGCTGCTGCGGCGCGGCGGGGCTGCGCTTGGCTTGTTGCTGCTGCGGCTGCTGCTGCTGCTGCTACTGCTGCCGTTACCTGGGCTGCTGCTGGACTCGGCTTCAGGCTCAGCGGGACCCGCTGCCTCTGCACTGCCTGCTGCTGCTGCTGTGGCCGCTGTCTTGCCGCCTGCGCTGCTGCTGCTGCCGGCGCTGGAAGCTGCCGCCGGGCTGCTGGCTTGCACGCCTGGCACGGCAGCATCTGAGTTGCCGTCGTCCGCGGCCGCCGGGTGCTGCAGGCGAAGGGTGAACTGCAGCGGAGTGCGCCGCAGTCGGGCCGTCGACATAGAGGCAGCCAGCGCTGCCGCTGGGGAGTCCACCGCTGCGTCTGCCGCGGCAGCTTCCCGGGAGGGGGCGCGGCGGGGGTGCGGCGGCATGTGCACCAGCGCCCGCCGCAGCACGTCGTGCCTGCAGTATCCACATGCAGACTTCAGAATCCAGTACGGCGGGGGCTGCGAAGAGACAACCAGATCTCAAGCACAGACCAGGCAGTGCCAGCCAGCCAGCCAGCCCTGCGGCCTCGGCTACAGCCATCGCATGGCACGGCGCGGCGAGCTGGACAAGCCCACTCGGCGACGGCTCTCACCCCACGATGCCCGCCACACGGCCTCCCTCCGGCAGCCCCGCCACCAGCCCCGTGCAGGGCAGCTCCATCAGCAGCGGCCGCTCGATGCGCAGAGGGCCCAGCTGGAAGCTGGCAGCCCGCCTGCGGGGAGAGACGAACACAAACAACAGCGCCCTCAAGCGTCTCAGCTGTGCTAAGGTGGATTGTTGCCTGGCCTTGCCACCTAACGCTGGGCACGCCAGGTCCCCCCGCCAGGTCCCCGCTCCTGCCCGCTCTGGTACCAGGCTGACCCCGGCCTGCCTCCCCACAGGTGGCAGCAGACAAGAGGGCCTGGCAGCATGGCAGGCTCCCTGAGGCAGTACCATGGTACCGCACCTGAACCGGGAGGCCACCTTGCCGACCATGGAGGTGACCTGCAGCTCGCCAAAGGCCTCCAGGCCCAGCGCCTCTGCCACCGCCGGGTCCAGCACAAAGCCAGAGGCGCCGGTGTCGAAAATGAAGTAGCCCACCGGCCGCCCGTCCAGCAACGGCTGCACCAGGCTGCACCATGGCGCGGGAGCGAGGGCACGGGATCGCGAGGAGGTGTGTGTTTGAGGGGAGTGCGTGGGAGTGCATGCCAGGGAATGTGGAAGAGGCAGCCCGCGGGAACAGGCAGCAGCGGCAGGCACCGTGTGCCAGCCTGCCAGACCAGGCCTAGCTTCAGGCCTCACCTGTGCCCGCTGATGGTGTACCAAGCAGGCACCTCCTCAGGCACCCCCGGCAGGAAGGAGCTGTCGTCCGGCATCAGCGGCGCCTGTGGCGGCGTGAATCGGCTTCCGCTGCTGCTCCTGCTGCCGCCGCTGCTGCCGCTGCTGCTGGCACCGCCGCTCTCCATGGCAGGCAGGAGGCTGAGCGGCGCATCTTGCAGCGTCACCGAGCAAGCATGGTAGGTGTTCATCACGCCGCCCTCCTCGCTGCTGCTCTGCGTGGCGGTGCCCGCCAGCCACAGGCCTGGCTGCCACTCTCGCCAGTCGCTGAGCTCCCACACCTCCTCGTCTCCTGCCAGGCGCAGGCGCATGCTGCGCGGCAGCCAGCTGGTCGTGCACAGCTCCAGCCAGACAACCACCTGCAGGGGCGAGGGCCGCGCCAGGGATTGAGACCGCCCGCCAGCGGCTGATCCAGAGAGGCCAGCAGCAGCCGAGTTAGAAGAAAACGGCGGAAGCAACATCCAGGAGCAGAGGCAGACGCCCTGCCGCGGCCCACCTGGCCTCCTCCCCGCAGCCGCAGCTCTACCCACGCCGTGCTGCCGCCCTGGGCCTTGGCAGCCTTTGCGGTGCCTTTCTGCGCGGGGGCTGCCACCGCCGCGATGTGCAGGTGTGCCGCCACGCGGGGCAGTACCCAGGTGCCGGTGCGGACCCAGGTGGAAAGAAGGAGTGCCTCCTCGTCGTCCAGCTGCATCACCCGAGGGCACCCCGCATCATCCGACGCCCAGCACACGCCGGCCGTGCCAAAGTAGCCGCCCCCACTGCCGCTGCCGCTGCTCGTGCTGCTGTTGCTGGTGCTGCCTGCCGCCTTGCGGTTGCTGGACGTGCCGGCACCGTCGGCGGCAGCGGCGGCGTAGCCCCAGCTGTACGACATCTGGGGCGAGGCCAGGCTCTCCAGGAAGGAGCCGCGGCGGTCAAAGGCCAGCTGCCACTCCATTTCGATCCCTGCTGGAAGAAGGAGCGTGCCCCGAGCAGGGCAGCGAGGGGGCAAGTCAGCAAGGCAACAGCGGCATGTATGGAATGGCTGGATGGCGGGCTGTAGGCTGCTGCAAGAAGGACTGGGTTGAGTAGGGCAACAGCACAGCAAGAGGAGGGTCATCTTCCTCCCGGTTCATCGCCGCCACCCACCCATGTGAAGGGCCGCTCCCGAGATGTCCACCTCTACCTCCACCATCTGATCATCAGCCAGGCTGGCTGGAGCTGCACTGTTCTGAAGTCGCTCCACCCAAGCTAGCACAGCGCTGGATGGCGCAGCAGGTTCTTTGCTGGGCGGCGCCGCTTTGGGAGCAGCAGCAGAGGGCGGCGCCACTGCGGCTGCCGCTCGCCGCCGCCGCCGCCACACGTGCTGCACGTGCCTGCGCTGTGGCAGGGGCGCAGCCAGCAGATGCTGGCCATCGCGCCCATCGTGCGCCGCCCACCCTACAGTCGCAGGGCGGCCGTGCTGCACAAGCCCTCCCCTGCAGGGTTGAACCATGCTGCCTCCTACGGCGTCTCTATCGCTGTCATGCACCGTGGCATCGGCCGCATGTGAGGCGCCTTCTGTGTTAAAAGAGAGAAAGGCACAGAAAGTGTGCCAGCTCAGCGGTGGGTGGCGGCGGGTGGGTGGCAGGCCAATGTTGCATTGCCCTGGCCTGTGTCTCTCGGCCATGCATCTGCCCTCTTTACATCAGCAGGAACCAAGACATTCTGCGATCTTCAATGCATGATGGCTGGCTGCAGGCCAATGCATGTTCACACCCAGGCTGACATGGGCGACGCCGCCAGGCGAACAACGTGCAGCAGCAGATCATGCGGCGGGGACGCCAATCCGGTAGCAGCCGCAGATGTGGCTGGGCAGGCCGCCTTGCTGGAGCCGGCACCATGATACTGGCGGGGGCTGTTGCGAGCGCTGCGGTGGGCTGCCAGCAGCAGCGCGCGGGTGGCAGCCTTGAAGCGGTCAGGCCAGTTGTTGTGAGCGGAGGTGGTCCAGTCAAGTGCACCCCCCCGGGCCACAAACAGCAGCCTGCGATGTGCGGATAACAGAGCGGATCGTGCAGCCAGCCCAATCCACTGCGGAGCCTGCCCACTTGCAGGAGATTGCAGGCCAGGCCTGGATTGAAAGGGCCCCCTTCTGCCATAAACTGAAAGCATGCGCTGTCAACAGCTGCTGTTCTCACCTGTTCGGCAGGCGGCTGTTGGTGGGGTCCTCCACGAAATTGTCAAACTCCTCCATCACAGCATTGCCAGCCCGGCGCAGGAAGCGCGGGGGCGCCACCTGCTTGTAGACTGTGGGGCGGAAGCCGGCAGCCAGCAGCGCCTCGAGGATGCGCAGCGTTGAGTGCTCGCTCGTGTATGAGTAACGGGTGGTTATAAAACGGGTCTGCGGGTCCAGTGGGGATGGTTGTTGTGGTTCCTGGCTCAATTTCCCCCCCTGCAACAAATCAAGACGCACCTGATACGCACGAAGCGCCCTGTGGATCGCGCAGCTGTAGCTGGTGAGATAAAAGACGGTCGCCCCTGGCTGGGCAGTGTCCACTGCCGGTGTGCCGCACGCCAGCAGGACCTCCACTCCATCTGCTGAGTGAGAGTCCACGGCATGCAGCAGCGCCTCTGCAGTGAGAGGTGCACCCGCTTGGTGCAGCAGCTGCACTGCTGCGCGCACGTCCCTTGGGCTTGGGTCGGGGAAACCGACTGCCGCCTACAGCAGCCCCTGCTGATGCTGGTTCTCGACGGACAGGTCCAAGGGAAGCTGGCTGCTCAGCAGGGCCTGCAGTATGGCGACATGCCCTCCCCGGGCTGCAGCGTGCAGCGCTGAATGAAGGACATCAAGTTCTGCTGGTGGCAGATGGCTGTCGGCAGCAGCCAGCTGCCCCTGCAGGCTGCTCATCCCCTGCCTTGCCAGCGCCTCATGCCCTAGGTGCGCAGCAGCCAGCACCAGCTGCCCGGCTCGCTCGCTACTGCCCAGCTGGAGCGACCCGTCAGCGCGCTGCTGCTCCAGGCGGGCCAGCAGCGTGTCTGCCAAGCTGGTTTGGTCGGTGCGGGGGGCAGCAAAAGTAGGCCAGCCAGCTGCTGGGACCACTGCCGTTGCGCTGCAGGCAGTCCACGCCTTCCTCTTGCAGCAGCAGCCTAGCAATAGATGCTTTAGCACCGCCCATGAAGTCCATGCCAGTGCCAGAGATTGGGCTGATTGCTGTCTGCCCGTGGCTGCCGGCGCTGGGGTCCGCCCCTAGCTGCAGCAACTTCTGCGCCAACCATCGGTGCAACTCCCTGCAGCACATGGCCAGGCAAAGGCAAGCAGCTTGCACTGAATCAGGTTAAACTTGCCTAAGCCAAGCAAGCTTATCGCCGTGTTGAATTGCCGGAGTGTGCAGCCCACAAGGCGCAGCAGGTTGGCTGAATGCCGCAGGGCATGTTCCCACCTGGCAGCCAACGCTAGCGGCCTGTAGCCAGCTTGAAGGTGAGTGAAGGTGGGCTTAATTTGTGGCGAAGCCCTGCCACACATCTCACGCAGCGCTGCAGCGTCCTGATCATGTAAACCACATTCAATGGGCGTGTTGAGCGGTGCGCCTGCAGCCGCCAGGGCTGCTACGATGTCAGGCCGCCCCCAGCGGAACATCACAGCCAGGTGGGTGGTCGTGAGCCCGCAGGGCCCGGTGTGCTGCAGCTGATCTGCGCCGCTGCCCTCTAGCAGTCTGTCGGCCATGGACAAGTTGCCGGTCAGCAGTGCATCGGCCGTGGGCCTGGGCGCTGTCTGCGCCCTGGTGGCGACCATGGCGGCGGTGGTGGCGGTGGATGGCGGCTGGGTGGGCTGGTGAGGCGGGGGCTGTGCTGCTCTAGCTGCCCTCTGACAGCAGCGTCGTCCCAGGACTGCTGTGTCCCACGTGCGGTTGAGGGCAGTGGCGATGCCCGTGGAGGCGCAATACAGCTCTGTGCTGTCTGGCTCTGTGCATGCCAGCAAGGACGAGGAAGAGAGAGAGAGGCTGTGCGCACTTTTGCGTGATGAGGCTGGGTTTGGCTGCATTCTTTCTTTCAGTTTCAGGCACTTCACTGGGCGAGCCACACGGTGCTACCCCCTGCCTGCAACCTTGGATAGGCCAAGACCTGCCTTGGGCGGTTGCACACCTAGCGCTGGTGGCGGCGGTGGGTTGGTGTGTCCGCCGGCGACGCGCCGCGCCGCCATCCGGCATTCGACGGGCCCCTTGAGTTTACAGCCAATGCACGATGCACGAGGAGCAGGATCGCGATCAATGGATCACAAGCGCGCTCGCTGGCGACCGCAGCAAGTCTGCCAATGCGGCCAGGCAAGAACATGGACCGCTTGCACCGCCGCTCAACCCTGCCGCCGTGCCAGGCGCTGCACGTCCTTGAGCTCCTGCTGCAGCACAAACACGGTGCGGCTCAGCACCTGCCGCTCATACACCACCGCCTGCAGCGCATGGCGCCGCCGCTGCTGGCCGGCATCGGCGCTGCCGTCACCCGCACCGCCGCTTGCTGCTGCAGCAGACGCCTGATCCTGCAGCCGATCAAGCTCTGCTCTGTCGCCATCGAAGCTGCGGGGATAGGCTGCCAGCGCCGCCTTGCAAGCCGCCACGACGGCTTCGAGCGCCGCTGTCTGCAGCGCCGGCGGGATGTCGCCCTCCTCAAACAGCCGCCGTGCCAGCTGCTCGGCTTCCTGCCGGCTGCCAACGACCGCCGCCGAAAACGCCGTGTAGTGGACCAGCTCAAACGGCGCCGCCGCCATGCGCAGCGGGAACAGCTGGCTGGCGGCGAGGCCGTGCTGGCGCAGCGCTGCGGCCTTCCAGTTGCGGGCGGCATCGCCGGGGGCCAGCTCCAGCAGCAGGCGGCAGCCGTCGTGGGGGTTGCTGCCCAGGTCGGGGCAGAAGCCGTAGCTGCACGGCGGCAAAGGGGCGTGAGGCGGGGAGGGCCTCATGTTGAAGGTCTTCCATCAAGCTGCCAACATGCGCAGCTGTCCTCTGCATCTCGCCTGCGTCCCCCGCCCGCCTCCCTTCACACCCTCCCTCTCCACGTATGCCCCTCACCTCAGCAGCAGCTCGCCGCTGGTCTTCTGGCCGTAGCTGATGAGCAGCTGCTCGCCGGCACGGTACCGCCGCTCCGCCCGCAGTACCACCGCTGCCTCGGTGGCGCTCCAGTCCAGGAAGCTGGCGGCCGCGCAGTCGTGGTTCAGCAGGTCGGCCCAGGGCAGCAGCGCCTCCTGGTCTCCCAGCCCCGCCAGCCGCACCAGGCGCGACAGCAGCACGGCAAAGGCCCACTGCAGCTGGGCGCGGCCAAAGGCGCCATGCGCGGGGGCCCGCCCCTGGGCCTTTGCCGCCGCCAGCACCGCCTGCATCTCTGCCCAGGACGCCTCTGCCGCCGCCCGGATCTCCAGAGCGTCGGAATGCAGCTGGCTGCCGCACAGCCACTCCACCTCCTCCTCCGACCACTCCAGCACGCAGCCCGTGCGCTCTGGCAGCAGCCGCACATAGGGCCACCAGCCGCCGGCGCTGCCTGCGGCACGTTGCTCTGCCAGCCACAGGGCCAGCACGCTCCATGCGGGCAGCGGCTGCTCCTCCAGCAGCGGCCGCAGGCACGACTGCTCCAGCGCGGCTGCCGGAGTCAGCACGAGCTGCTGCGGAATGCTCAGCAGGCTCTCGCCCTTGCCGATGGGCTGCGCCGCCACCAGGCCGCGCCCGCTGCCAGGCGTCGCAGCGGCCGCAAGCTGCAGGGGTCACGAGGGAGGGCACCGCGGCATCTGAGTGCGCTACTCAGACACAGCGGGCGCCTGGGGCAACTGGTGGTCACTGTGGGTGGAGCCTACCTTTGGCGGGGGCAGGCCGCGCTCTATCAGCCACGCCTTGAGCTCCTCCCCTTCGGCATCTGTGGCTATTTCAGTGCTGCCGGCGCCACGCAGCAGGTCCAGCAAGCCCGCTTGCGCCGCCAGGCGGCAGCGGCAGCGGCGGTGGCGTGGCGCCCAGCCTGGCGCGGCTACCTGCTGCCGTTGCCTGGTGCCCGCGAGCCCCTTGACTGCTGCGGACGCCATGCTGCCTGCGGGAACCGCCGCCGCAACACGATGCGAGCTACAGGGTTGGTCAAGTAGGCTTCCGTTGGTGCTGTGGTGGAGATGTAGATGTTGTTGATGCCAACCGAGGGGGGCTGATCGCATTGGGGCGATCGGAAACCGCGGCAACGCAACACCCCAGATGTACTCCACCCAGGTACCTTCAAGCAGCTGGAACCGGTTAGAATCCGGCCTGTGGTGGCCACGAGAGTTACCCTGGCAATCAAGGGGTTGGTCTCTGCCCCGTGAGCACCTCCCTCCCTCTGCTAGGCACCAAAGAAATGGGGAGTCGAGAAGAACTGGAGGCGGAGGCTCTGCGCCTCTTTGCGGGTATTGGGCTGGCCGAGCAGACAGCGCAGTGAGTGCCGCTGCCCCCATGCCGCCCCATGCACCTTCAATGTTTGGCGAGCGGAGCCTCTGGCCGCCCCGGCACCTGCCCACAAGACTGAGGACCCCGCTGCAGGCAAGCCATTGTGAAGCCCAAGTTCCGCCAGGCGCTGGTCGATCTGATCAAGGAGGCGGGCGCCGCCGATGGCTGCCCCAAGCCGCAGGGCGCGCTGCTTTACACCACAGCCAGCAAGGTGAGCAGTAGGGTGTGAAGGGTTGCAAGGGTGGAGGGCAGTTGCTGAGCATAGCAGCGCTCCTGGCTCGGAGCTGCCACGCCACTGCCGGTGCCTCCTCTCCTGCCGCCGCTGCCACACCTTCATCTGGCACCACTGCCTGTGCCTGCGCCTGCCGTGCAGTACCCTGCCAATGCGCTGGTCCACCGGGGAGAGCTGCTGGCCTACATCAATGATGAACGCATCCGCTCCAACGCTCAGCTGGATGGGGCGCTGGAGTACCTGGGCAAGGTGCGCAGAGAGGCAGGCACCAGAAGGAGATGCAGGGCAGGCGTGCTTGCAGGATGCAGCCTGGGGTGCTGCCGCCTGCTGCGGCTTGGAGCGCCACGCTGCTGCTGCTGCTGCTGCTGCTGCTGCTGGCGTTGCTTGTGCACCGCATCTGCACACTGGGCGGCTGCTGCCGTTGCTGCCGCTCTGCCGCAGGTCGGCAGCGAGCCAATTGATGTGGCTAAGTTTGAGGAGGCTGCAGGAGTGGGAGTGGAGGTAGGGCCCGACCAGATCAAGGCCGCGGTGGCGGGCTGCGTCAAGGAGAATGAGGCGAAGCTCCAGGAGGAGCGGTGAGCAAGGGTGGGGCGGGGAGGAAGGGACCCTGCCTCCACAGCAACGTGCGCGCCTGTCGTTGCGCCGCTGCCGCTGCCTGCTGCAAGTCGTGCTGCTCACGGAGCAGTACATGCCGCGCCGTACTGCAGGTACCACTGCAACCTCAACATCCTGCTGGGCAAGCTGCGCGGCGGCGGCGGCATCATCAAGTGGGCTGACGTGGCTGCGCTCAAGGCGGAGCTGGAGGCGCAGGTGCATGGGCTGGTGTGTGTGTGTGTGTGTGTGTGTGTGTGTGTGTGTGTGTGCACGCGCTGATTGTTTGGTGGGGCGTTGTGACAGAGTGGTGAGAGTGGGGATGCTGGAGGGCCGCGAGAATGCAGGCCTGCTGCTCCGCGCCACCCGCCGCCTGTCGTCGTATGCTGCTGTGCCTGAGCTGCTGCCTCGCTGCACCTGCCCCGCAGGTGGAGGCGCTGCTGGGGCCCAAGACTAAGGCGGACCTTGTGAAGCCGGACAAGAAGAAGAAGCCCGCCAAGCCCGCCGCGGCGGCTGCGGCCGGCAAGGACGGGGCCAACGGCGCGACGTCTGCTGCTGCAGCAGCGGCCAAGAAGGCTGAGGAGGAGGCGTGGCGCACCGCGGACCCGTATGCCTTCCTGCCCAAGCCGCAGCAGAACAACATGGTGCATACCACAGTTCACTTCAGGTGGGGCGAGCGGGACAGGCAGGCAGGGTAGTGGTAATGGTTTACAGGCCAGGCAGGCAGAAGGACAGAAGGGTGTGTGCAGCGGGGGACATACCAGCGAGGAGGTTTTGGTGGTGGCACTACGTGCCAGCCCAACCCTGCTTCTGCTTCCCTCTGGCCTGTTGCTCCGTCGTGCAGCGACGGCCGCAAGATGAATGTGGCCAACACTCCCGAGCTGCTGGCGAAGCACCTTGAGGAGACGGGGGGCAAGGTGGTGACTCGGTTCCCGCCAGAGCCCAATGGCTACCTGCACATAGGCCACGCCAAGGTGGGGATGCCAGCAGCGCCTGCATCTGCTCCTGCTGGGGCGCGGTAGGATGGCGGACGGCCGCTTGCACAAGCGGACTTGTTTGCCCCGCTCACCTCGCCCACCTCCCGCCTCTTCACCCTGACCCCGCCCGCTCTTGCAGGCCATGTTTGTCGACTTTGGCATGGCTGTGCAGTACGGCGGCGTGTGCTACCTGCGGTTTGACGACACCAACCCGGAGGCCGAGAAGCAGGTGGACAAGGGGGCGTGTCCAGCGTCTGCGTCACTTGATGAACGTGCCTGCTGCGCTCCTGGCTGTGCTCCCTTCCACCACCGCCGCCACCACCACCTGACCCGTACTGCGCCGTACCACCTGGTACCGTACCACCTGGTACTGCACCGCAGGAGTACATTGACCACATCGAGGAGATTGTGAGCTGGCTGGGTTGGAAGCCGTGGAAAGTCACCTACTCCTCAGATTACTTTGACCAGGTGGGGGGCGAGGGTGGCAGCGGTATGTGGCAGGTGGTGAGGTGGAGGGTGATACCTTGCGGTGGTGGTGGTGTGGTGGGAGTGGTGCTGGTGCTGGTGTGTGCGTGGGTCGGGCAGGCTTGAGAAGAGGGGTTGCGTTGTATGGAGGTGGAACAGCGGAAGCGTCTGCTGCCTGCTTTGTGATTGGGATCCTAACGTTCACGTACTGCACATCGTAATTGGCTCCTTGCCCCAACTCCTCTCCCCTCCTGCAGCTGTATGCATTCGCGGTGCAGCTCATCAAGGGCGGCAATGCGTATGTGGACCACCAGACAGCAGAGGAGATCAAGGAGTGAGCCCCGGAGCTGCTTGGAGCACGGCTGGGCTGCTCTTGCCAGTAGCGTGTTGGGCAGGCAGACAATGTGTTTCGCCCCATCCGAATCATCCCATTTGCCCGCCTCCCAGCCCGCTCGCCCCTGCCCTGCCTGCCCTCCCGTGCAGCTACCGGGAGCGGCGGGAGCCCAGCCCCTGGCGCGACCGCCCCATAGCGGAGTCGCTGAAGCTGTTTGACGACATGCGGCGGGGGCTGGTGGATGAGGGCAAGGCCACGCTGCGCATGAAGGTGCGGGGGCCCACGGAAGCTGCCGGGGCAGGGATAGAAGGACGGGGCAGGTGCTGGGGCTGGGGCAGGCCCCTGGGGTGCCGCCTCCTTCGTCATTTCACCTCTCCTTTCGCCCCGACCCTGTTACTTCCTTCCTCTCCTGCCCAGATGGACCACAAGAACGAAAACTACAACATGTTTGACCTCATCGCCTACCGCATCAAGTTTGTGGAGCACCCGCATGCAGGTGGGGCTCCTCAAGGCCCAGTCCCGAGACCTTCAGCCGCTGCCCACGCCGACCCGCAGTGCACACCCCTGCACCGCCATGCACCGCTCGTGTACTGCCGTTTTCCTGCCCGCGCCGCTGCAGGCGACAAGTACTGTGTGTACCCCTCCTACGACTACACCCACTGCCTGGTGGATGCCCTGGAGAACATCACGCACTCCATGTGCACCCTGGAGTTTGAGTCGCGCCGGGCCTCCTATTACTGGCTGCTGGAGGTGGGACCAAGTGTGGGAGCAGGCGCCCGAGTGCTCTGAGGAACCGCGGCTGGCCTGGCAGCGCCGTGTGTGTGCAGGGCAGAGGGGAGCGGGCAGCGGGGCGTGCAGGGGCGGCGTGCGCAGGCAGGCATGAGGCCACCTGCCAGCGCCCCGCTGCCTGTTCGCCTCCCGCGCTGCTCCTCCACGCCCGCACACCTCGCCTGCGTTTCCCCCGCTCCTGCCCGCTGCGTCGAGCAGGTGCTGGGCACCTACAAGCCGCTGGTGTGGGAGTACAGCCGCCTGAACATCACCCACAACGTCATGTCCAAGCGCAAGCTCAACCGCCTGGTCACCGACCAGCATGTGCTGGGCTGGGACGACCCGCGGCTGCTGACGCTGGCGGGGCTGCGGCGGCGAGGCGTCACGCCGCAGGTGCGCCGCGGCGGCGACCCCAGATCCAAGCTGCCTGCCCCGTGCTGGCTGGGCGCGGGCTGGTGCAGGTTGCCTGGCATGGGGCGGGACGCCGGCTGTCTCCCTCCCCTCCACAACCACCTGCATTCACACGCCCCATGCCCCGCCTACCCTTTCTTCCCTGGTTCTTTCTCCTCCGCCCCAGGCCATCAACAACTTCTGCAAGGAGGTGGGCGTGACGCGCAGCGAGGGCGAAGTGCACCTGCACAAGCTGGACCACCACATCCGGGCCGAGCTGGACGCCACCAGCCGGCGGTCGCTGGCCGTGCTGCGCCCGCTGCGCCTCGTCATCGCCAACCTGCCGGACGCGCACTATCAGGAGGTGGAGGCCAAGGTGGGGCCTGGGGTGGCGTGTGTAGCGGGACAGGTGGTGGTGGCGTTGGGCGTGGCGGTGCTCTCGGGGGAGCGGGAGCTGCTGCCGTGGGCTGCAGCATGCGTTGTTGCTGTTCGGCAGGCAGCAGCGACCTTCGCGCTGCACAGTGCCAACGCTGCCCGGCCTGCCCTGCCCTGCCCCCGTGCAGTACTTCCCCGGGCGCGGCGAGGAAGGGTACAAGGTGCCCTTCACCAAGGTGGTCTACATAGAGGTGGGTGGCTTGGCTGGGCAGCCGCAGGGCCTGCTGGAAAGGGTCCGACGGCGGCCACGCCCAGGCGGTTGTGCTGGGCTGGCAGCTGACTGCCTCTCTGGCTGATGCGCCGCGCTGGCTTCTCCTACCCCTGACCCCTACGCTCTTGCCCGCCGTGCCCTGCCTCGTTCTCGGCCTCACTTGCCCCTGCCCTTGCGCCTGCCTTGCCCCTGCCTGCCCCAGGATACTGACTTCCGGGAGGCAGACAGCAAGGACTACTACGGCCTGGCACCTGGCAAGTCGGTGATGCTCAGGTGCGGGGTGTGGTGTGCCTCTCCTTGCGCGCATGGCTGACCTGGTGGGGCACCAGGATGGAGCCGCCACCCTGGGGCTGGTCGCCGTGTCGCCAGCCTGGAAAGGCTATGTGCCGCTCCTGCTTGGCATGTCTTGAGCGCTGGCTGCTGCTCAAGGGTACCGCCTGCGCTGCTGCTGTACCGCCTTGTGCAGGTACGCCTACCCCGTCACCTGCACCGGCTTCTCCAGGGACGCGTCTGGCAAGGTGGCAGAGGTGCAGGCCACCTACGACCCAGACTTCTCCACCAAGAAGCCGCCCAAGGGGGTGCTCAACTGGGTGGGGCAGCCGGCGGCGGGCGTGGAGCCGCCCACCTTTGAGGCGCGGCTGTACGACGTGCTGTTCAAGAGCCAGAACCCGGCGTCGCAGGTGGGCGTGGGCTGGTGGCGGCGGTGGTGGTGTGCGTGGTGATGGCGCGGCGGCAGACGGCTCTTGGGGCTGGGCTGCAGCAGGCAGCGCACGTGTGCAGGGCAGTTGTGTAGATTGGCGGCCTGCCTGTTGTGCTGCAGGAGGACTGGCTGGCTGACCTGAACCCCGAGTCGCTGGTGGTGGTCAAGGGCGCCTACGCCACGCCCGAGCTGGCAAAGGCGCAGCCTGGGGACAGGTGGGTGTGGGCTGGTGGAGGCTGGGATGTCTGGGGCTGCAGCGTGGCAGTGTACTGCTGAGGTGCGGGCTCGCAGCCTGCGTTTGGGTGGCTGATCCCTCACAGTGTGGCATCAGACGCACGTGTGCAAATCGTACCGCCTCCTTCTGGCGCCCAATCCGAGCTGCAGGTTCCAGCTAGAGCGGCTGGGATATTTCTGTGTAGACATCGACAGCTCACCGGGCGCGCTGGTGCTCAACCGCACCTGCACGCTCAAGGAGTCATTCCCCAAGCAGGCGGCGCCTAAGGGCGCCCGCAAGTGAGGCTGGTGGTGGCACGGGATCCCCGTCTGAGCCTGTAGCACGCATCCGCAGCTGCACTTCGAAGGAGGAGGAGGATTCCTGTACACTGCAGTATTCACAACCACCGCGCTCACAGAAATGAACTGCTCTTGCTGAATTCCTTTGCTCCCGTGCTTCACTTGTCCGCCCACGCTGCTGTCTTGCTTGCTCGCGCCGCGCGTGCCCCGCCGGTCGGCGGCGCCTGTAAGCCCAATTTTCAATTCGCTGACGGCAAGGACAGGTCGAGCAAGGCAATCAAGCCCATTCCCTGCCAGAACCTGCACAAGAGGGCTGGGGGTGGCTGTCGGCACCTGCCGCCACCTGCAGCTCCTTGCCGCGGCAGTGGATACCCCCACCAAGTGCGGCTTGCACTGCCAGGCCCGCCCTCCCCAGGGCGCCCGCAATTCTCATGTTGCGTGCCGAGCGATGTGGACGGCCATGTGTGCCTCCACTGGAATGTTAGGCTGCCTAGGACGGGGCAATGGCGGCGCACGCTGCGTGCGCTGCGAGTTTTGCCCACCTGCACTTCGTGGATGAGCCGCCCTGCGGGCCAGCTTTTCGTAGGATAGCTCATTCCTTCGTTGGTAGGAGATTTCACGGCTCCGCAGACCCAGTCTGGCAGGCGGTGCAGGGAGTGGAGAACGGCCAGCTGCAGGGCCCCGCCGGGAAGGCGGGCCAGGCCGGCAAGGGGCTGGCAGCAGCGGGTAGCCGCAGGTGAGGCGGTGCGGGGCGAGCTGTTGGGGTGCACCACGATCTCTTCAGCGACAAACGGCCATCGCCCGGTGGGGCCCCTGCTCACCCCGGGCCGCTTCCTCTGCCACAGGGCGCTGGGAGACATCGGCAACCTGGTCTCTGGGCTCAACCAGAAGGCCAGCCTTGCGGGGCCAAAAGAGGCGGAGGCCAAGGTGGGCACAGGCGGCGCGGGCGCCCCTTGGAACGCCTTCATTTTGTATTGTGGGACGGCTTGGCGGGGGCAGGGAGGCCCCGCCAACGGCAGGCATGCACAGCCTCCCGCAGCTGGCCGCAGCCTGGGGACCCACACTCTGCCCCTCTCCCCCCTCTGCTGCAGCGCCCCGGAGTGCTGACTCGTCGGGCGGCCGCACAGCTGGCCGCGGTCGGCCCAGCCCAGGTGCGGTAGGGTTCTTTAATGTGTGGTGGCATGGCTGTCACGGCGGGGAGCCCTGGCTGGTGCTGCCCTGCAGGCCTGCCCTGCCGGCCTGTCCTTGCCTTCATCCACCCCAACCCCTGCCGCAGGCCGCCAATCCCGGTAGCTATGGCGCAGCCAAGCCTCGCGGCGGCGGCCTGCGCCCCCGCGACGCCAACATGCCCGTCGTCAGCCAGCAGGCGCCGGCGGCGGAGAAGAAGCCCGCGCCCGCGGCGGGCCGCAGCATGTCCCAGCTGCTGCACGCGCGCAGCGAGGCCGCCATGAGCGGCGGCAAGGCAGCGGCCAGGCACAGCGCCGCCCCCGCCGCGCTGCCAGACATCGACTCGGTGCACGCCGCCGACCCGCTGCACGCCACCGAGTTTGTGGCAGACATCTTCTCGTACTACAAGAGGGTGGAGCCGCAGCTGCGCGTGGCGCCCGACTACATGACGCGCCAGGTGGGCTGCGGAGACTGCGTGGCTTGGGGGAAGCTGCGGGGCAGCAGCGCTGGCGTGCCAGGCGGCAGCCGGGACCGCCACCCAGCCGCTTTGCAGGGCGGGGCCTGCAGTAGCCTGCCATGCCTACCCACTCTCCTGTCTGACAGCCTCCCCTGCCCCTGCCTCCTGTCCTTGTGCCGCCCCGCAGACCGACATCAACGACAAGATGCGGGCCATCCTCGTCGACTGGCTGGTGGACGTGCACCTCAAGTTCAAGGTGGGGATGCCCCGCGGCCAGCCAGCCAGCGTGCTGCTGCTTGCTGCTGGGCTGGCCAGCTGTGTATGTCCACGAGGCCTGGGCCCAGCCCTGCGCCTTGCCTCTCTTCTGCTCGCCGCCCTGACCCTTGCCCTCCCCCTCTCTGCCCCCCTGCTCCGCCCCCGCAGCTGATGCCTGAGACGCTCTACCTCACCGTCAACCTCATCGACCGCTTCCTGGAGGCCAAGCAGGTGACGCGCAAGCACCTGCAGCTGGTGGGGGTGACCGCCATGCTGGTGGCGTCCAAGTACGAGGAGATCTGGGCGCCCGAGGTGCGCGACTTTGTCTACATCTCCGACCGCGCCTACACGCGCGACCAGATCCTCAACATGGAGAAGATCATGCTCAACTCGCTGCGCTTCAACCTCACCGTGCCCAGTGAGCCTGGCGTGGGGGTGGCGGGGTGGCTCAGGGGATGGGCTTTGAAGGGCGGGCAGGGGTGCTGCTGGGCTGGGCAAGCCCAGGGGGAGGGGTTTCGTGTGAACTCTGTGCTCACAATCTGCCCCATGCCACGCTGCCTCCCCTCCTCCCGCAGGCATCTACAACTTCCTGGGCCGCAACTTCAAGGCGGCGGGCGTGGCGGACAACAAGTGAGAGGGCGGGCCTGAGCTGTGCCGCGCCGTGCCGTGCTGCGCCTGCCGTGGTGTGCCGGCCGTGTCACACCAGCGGCACAGCCGCCGCTCGTGCGCGCCTGCCACGCGCACCGTGTGCCGAGCTGTGCGTGCGCGTGCGCGCTATGGTCTGGTGCAGGGAGGTGACCCAGCTGGCCACCTACCTTGTGGAGCTGTCCATGGTGGACTATACCACGCTGCAGGTGAGCGGGCAGGGGTGGAGCACCGTGGCGCCCCCCTGCCAGCCGCGCTGCCTGGCCTGCCCCAGCTGCCATGCTGCCCTGCACCCAGCCCTCCAACCCCCTCCTTCACCTCCCAGGCTCCTGCCTCACTCACCCACCCTGGCTGGATCCCCTCCTTGCAAAACGCAGTTCCCGTACTCCATGCTGGCCGCTGCGGCAGTCTACTCCGCGCAGCTGGCGGTGGGCGCCTCCGACCCCTTCTCCCACACCCTGTCCCGCCACTCCGGCTACACCCTGGACGCCATCAAGGACTGCTCCCTGCACCTGGGCGCCCTGTGGCGCAAGGCAGCCAACTCCTCGCTCACCGCAGTGCATAAGAAGGTGCGGCGACCCCGTGTTCCGATAACCTGGTGGCTTCTGGGCTGGGCGAGAGGGCTGCATTGTCGCGGCAGCAAAGTGGGCGTGCATGCTTCGTCACCCCATGCACACTTGCCGGCGGCCGCGGCCGTTGCGACTGAGTGTCTGCTCCCCTCCCCGTGTTCCAAGCCTGCAGTACTCTAGGGTGGAGCTGAACAAGGTGGCCCTTAACTACGAGGTGCCTGCCGAGCTGTTGGCGGCACAGTGAGCGGGCTGCACGGCGGCGCAACACCCCCCCGCCGGACCGCGGGCTGCCTTGCCCGCACAGCCAGCGGGTGGCGGACGCGCTGCCCTCCCAGCAGCTTGTATCAGCTTCTTCCAGAGAGATTTGCAGCACTCCATGCAGGCCCCACCCCTAGGCAGGCTTGACAAATCACACAAGGTTAGCTAGCTCAGAGATCACCACACGACACGAACCCCATTTAGCTAATAGGTATTCCGCGCTTGTACCCTCCCCAATTTATCCTGGCCTCCTCCCCCTTGGCCCTCTCTTTTCATTGCTCTCTTGCTCCCACAGCTCCCCACCTTTTCCCCGCTGTGCTGACCGCGCAGCAACTGCGCTCCCCGCCGGCACCGGCGCGCCTGGAACAGGCACTCGCCGCCGACCCGCAGCAACTGCGGCGCTGCCTCCCCCTCGCTCTGGCCCGGGAGCAGACTGGTTTTGACGCCGCGCCGAAGGCGCCTGGCCCCTCTCTTCCCTGACACCCAGGCTGTAACACCTGACCCTGATGGAGGAAAGGAGACACGGGAGGCGCAAGTGCTGCTGGCTGACGGGCGCAGGCCGTGGGCGCAGGCCTGCTTACATGTGTGCAACGGTTACAAGTGCCCAGGCTGGCATCATCCTGGCTGTGCTGCTGCGCTGCTGCCGCCGCCGCTGCTGCCCAGGCCGCAGAAGATGCGGCGTGCATTGGCGCACGTCGCGGCCGCCACCTCCTCCTCGGCCCTGCCCAGCGCCGCCGCCACCAGCTGCAGCGTCCAGCGCAGCACGCAGGGGCGGTTGAGCTGGTGCAGGCCGGCCTCCCTGAGCTGCTGTGGCAGGTGCTGGAGCGAGGGCAGCGCCTCCAGCCAAGCTGGCGACAGCTGCAGCACACCGTCTGGGCTGTCGCTCTCCAGCAGCAGGCGGTCCAGCGGCACTGCCCGCACCTGCAGGCAGGGCAGGCAGGTGTGGCAGGACGTCATGCACTCACTCAGTTGCTGGCGCCGGCAGGCACCCAGCGCCTGAGACGGTGTGGCCTCTGCTGCTGCATGCCTCGGCTGTGCTGGGCTCTACAAGCGGGTGTCCTGACCAGACCCACCACCACCACCACCACTACACACACAGACACGGCAGCAGCCAGGTGCACTCATCAGGTGCACTCACCATGGGCAGCGACTTGTGCGGCGGCACCCGTGCCAGGTGGCCCGACAGCGACACGTAGACGTTGCCCAGCTGCAGCAGGGCTGCCGTCATCTCGGCGGCGCCCGTCCAGGAGTGCAGCACCACCGGCACGCTGGTTCCCAGCCGCCTCAGGGCGTCGTGCACCGCGCCAAATGCCCGCATGCAATGGATCTGCGGGGTGGGTTGTGGTAGGGCGGGGCAGGGCAGGGAGGGGGTGGAGACGACAGGGGAGGCCTCTGGATGGCTGTACGGCAGTAGGCACCCGGTTGCAGGGTGCCGCGACAGGACTCACCGACACGGGGCGCTGCAGCTCCTGCGCCAGCTGCAGCTGCTGCTCAAATGCCTCCACCTGCAGCTGCCAGTCGGCCTCCGCCCGCGGCCCTCTGTCCAGCCCACACTGCGCAGCAGGCCGGCCGGCAGTTGGGCAGGCCCGAGCGCTGGGTACCGCAGCTCCAGACGTTGCAATGTGTTGATGGCTTGGTGCTGACACAATTCAGCAGCATCAGCGGCGATGAAGTCACTTCAGCGGCATTGCAGCTGGCCAGGCAGCACTGGCCAAACGCGGGGGAGCCCTGCCCATGGCGCCGATGCCGCTGCCAGCTCTCCTCCCAGACCCACCTCTCCCAGGCCGGCCTGCGGGTGCGTCTCTAGGAACCTCCGCAGCTGCTCCAGCCAGTCGGGACTGCGCCTCGGCACCCACCATGGGTGCAGGCCAAAGTTGGGCACAACGGCGGGGTGTGCCGCCGCCGCCGCCGCCACCGCCTGCCAGTCGTCCTGCCAGCATCCGTTACAGGCCACCTGCTGCACCCCGTTGGCGGCTGCCTCCTGCAGCACCTCATCCAAACTGCCTGGGAGACGGTCGTCTTGGAGGTGGCAGTGAGCATCGAACAGAAGAGGGAGGCCCTGTCGCTCCATGCCCTGTGCCTCTCACGCCGTTTACCGAGCACTGCTGTATGTCGTGATCAACCTGCAAGAGGCAATTGGCTCTCCAAGGGGTTCTGTTTTGTGGCGAGCAATCATCCAGGCTGGCGTCGGCCGCCTCCATTGCCCAACACTGCATTATCGGTCATTGCGGCCTTGCATCACTTCCTGGCTGCCAGCTGAGGGTTTCTGTGGCTCAGCAGGCTCCCGTGCCCTGCCAAGCTTGTGTTTCGGCTCCCGCGAGCCGCAGGGCCGGTCTTGCATTGCCATTGCGCCCGGCTGCATTCCTGGTTGCAGCTAGCGCGGCCCACCCCGCAGCAAGCAGCCAAATGATGCACGCCGCCCGCTGTGCGGGCCCACTGGCGCAGCCCTTTGGGCCCACCAGCAGCAGCCAGCGGCCGCAGACAGGCGCAGCATGTAGACAGCTCGAAGCTGGGGCCGGCAGCAGCGCGCTGCGCCCCGGCGGCAGGCGGCCGCTGGCGGTGGAGTGCAAGAAGCGGCAGCAGCAACGCGCGCAGCAGGCGGCGGCCAAAGCTCGCGAGCAGCAGGTCACCAGCAGCAGCAGCAGCAGCAGCAACAGCCTCCAGAGCAGCACCAGCCTGGCGCCGCCCATGAGCTACACGCTCGGCGGCCCCGGCACCAGCCAGCAGCTCGACCTCGGCAACATCGAGAAGCTGGAGGTCCGCGGCAACGAGCTGGTGCTGACGATGCGGGAGCCGCCGGGGGCAGACGGTGGCGGCGCTGCGGGCCCCCCTTCCCATGATGTGGACGAGGTGCTGGCCACGGTGCGTGGTTTGTGCTGGGCGCTGGGCCCTCGCCTGCCGTGGGGGTCGTGGGTCGAGCCCAGCTCCCGCCTCGTCCCCGTGCGGCTTCCTGGCCCAGCATCCTGTGCACCTGCCGTGCCTTTCCTTGCACCATCCTGCCCCGGCCGCCCCCCCCAAGGACGACACCTGTGAGGCTGTTTCTGATCTTCCTGATTAGACCCAACCCAAAACGACTTCTCCTTCTTCGCGAGGGGCGGGCGCCCGGCATGGCTTTCTTTCCTCCCCCTGCCTTTCCTCCTCCTGCCCCTGCATCGCCACGCACGCGCATTTGGCGCGGGCACCGGCTGCCGGCCGGCCGCGCGCCTGGCCCTGCTGCCACCGCTGCGCCGTGGTGCCCGCCCCGACCAGGGCCCATGTCGCCCCAGCCGCCGCTGCCGGCACGTGCCCACCGGCCCGCCGCGCGCGCGCCTGCCTGCCTGCCTGCCTGCAGCGGCAGGAGGACGTGATGGATGCGGTGGTCAAGATCTACTGCACCCACACCGAGCCCAACTACTCGCTGCCCTGGCAGCGCAAGCGCCAGTACTCCTCCACCTCCTCGGGCTTTGTGGTGGCGGGCGAGGCGGGGCAGCGCTACCTGCTCACCAACGCGCACAGCGTGGAGCACTACAGCCAGACCAAGGTGAAGCGACGGGGGGACGACCGCAAGTGGCTGGCCACCGTGCTGGCCATCGGCACAGAGTGCGACGTCGCGCTGCTCACGGGTGCGCCCGCCGCTCGACGCAGCCGCCCGCCGCGCCCCGCCCGCGTGGCAGCCTGGCCACCCATGGCTGGCGGCCCATTTCCGCTGCCGCTGCGGCTGGTGCCGGGCAGGCGGGCATGCTCCTCTCGCCCGCTGCCGCTGCTCCTCTCGCCTGCTGCGCCTGCGCACACCCTCTCGGCAGCCACCCACCCCTGCCCCCTCCTCCCTCCTCCCTCCTCCCTCCCTGCAGTGGATGACGAGGAGTTCTGGCAGGGCGTGCAGCCGCTGCGCTTCGGCCCGCTGCCCAACCTGCAAGAGTCGGTGTATGTGGTGGGGTATCCCATCGGTGGAGACACGGTGAGGCGGCGGCCGAGCTGCCCGCGCCGTGCTGCACCTGCGCATGCGCATGCACTCCGCCTGGACGGGCGGGGCGCCGAGCCGTTTGCTGCCGTGCCCGCGCCCCCCACCCCCCTGCCTACCTGCCTGCCTACCTGCCTGCCTGCCTGCCTGCCTGCCTGCCTGCCAACCTTCCTGCCTGCCTGCCTCCCCCACACGCAGATCTCTGTCACATCTGGCGTGGTGTCCCGCATCGAGGTGACAGCCTATGCGCACGGCGCCACCGAGCTGCTGGGCGTGCAGATCGACGCCGCCATCAACAGCGGCAACAGCGGAGGGTGAGCCCGGCCAGGCGCCCGCGGGCTCAGGCCCCGTCGCCGGCGGGGCCTCACTGGCGCGCCCGCGCCGCGCCGCGCGGCTGCTGGCGCCGCTGCCGGCGCGTCTCCCCGCCTCGCCCGCTCCCTGCCTCGCCCCGCCAGGAAACATGCTTCCGCCTGCCTGCCTGCCTGCCCGCCTCCCTCCCGCTCCCGCTCCCGCAGCCCCGTGTTCAACGAACTGGGCGAGGTGGTGGGCATCGCCTTCCAGTCCTATGCCGGGTCGGACGCCGAGAACATCGGCTACGTCATCCCCACCCCCGTCATCAACCACTTCCTGGACGACTACGAGCGCAATGGCACCTTCACCGGCTTCCCCGCGCTGGGCGTGCAGTGGCAGCGCATGGAGTCGGCGGCGCTCAGGTGAGGCCGTAGCGAGGTCATAGGTTTTGTGCTGTTTAAGGTTCGGATGTGTTGAGGACCTCCTGGTGTGAGATTGGGTGCCGGGGGCGCCGAGCGCTGGGGGCTGGGCGGCGGGTGGGAGAGTGTCTGAGGTCGGCAGCTGAGCCGCGCCTGCCTGCTGCCGCAGCGAGGCAGCCCGCTGTGGCTGCCCCCGGCCTCTTCCTTTCTTCCTTGTGGTGGACTGCCCGACAGCTCTACCTGCCCAGCACCCCAGTCTGCGCACCACGCCACCCGCCAGCTCCCGCGCCTGCCCCCGCCTCCTCGCCCCCGCAGGAAGCACTTCAACATGTCTGAAGAGCAGAAGGGCGTGCTGGTGCGCAGCGTGCAGCCCATCAGCCACGCCCACGGCCAGCTGTTCCCCGGGGACGTGCTGCTGGCGTTTGATGGAGTGGAGGTGGCCTCTGGTGGGTGCGGGCCGCCGGTGCAGCACAGCGCGACAGCCGCCTCCCCGCCCCATCCGTCTGCTTGCTGCCTGTCGGGCCGGCGACACGCCTCTGCGGCCCATCTTGCCTTGCCCAGCTTCCCCGACCACCACGCTCACCCGCCCGCCCCACCCCCAACCTGCATCCCCGCCCTCGCAGACGGCACCGTGCCCTTCCTGAGCGGCGAGCGCATCGCCTTCTCCTACCTCACCTCACAGAAGTTCACTGGAGACCTCGCCACCCTGGACATCCTGCGGGAGGGCAAGCCCATGCGCCTTCAGATCAAGGTGAGAGCCGCGGGCGCCTGCTGAGGCCTGCAGGGGCCGGGGCGGCGGAGAGCACGTCGCGGGGTGCAGCGGCATGCCCACCTGCCGCCTGCCTGCCCGGCTGCCGGCTGGCGGATGCCTGGCGGTCGGGCGGCGTTGGCACGGCAGCCGGCTCGCTGACGCCGCCCGCCTCACCTTGGCTGCCATGCCGCCGCCCACACCTCCCTGGCTCCCCGCCCTACTCACCCTCTGCCCCCTCTTTCTTTTCCTGGCTTCCACGGCCCCGCCTGCTGCAGCTCATGCGCCCCAACTCGCTAGTGCAGCACCACCTAGGCGGCCGAGACCCCTCGTACCTTGTGGTGGCTGGCATCGTCTTCACCGTCGTCACAGGTGCGCCCGCATGCAGCCAACTTGGCCCCCAACACCGGCTGCCGGGCCACGCCGCTGCCACCTCCTGGGAGAGCCCTTCTTCCGGTTGCCGCTTGTCGAATGGCCCGGCCCGGCACCGACCCACCGGCCCCGCTGCCCGTTCCGCTGCCCGCCCCGCTGTCCCGCCGCCGCAGAGCCCTACCTGGAGAGCGAGTATGGGGCGGAGTATGGGAGGGAGGCGCCCATCAAGCTGCTGGACAAGCTACTGCACGCGTGGAAGGACGAGCCAGACCAGGAGGTGGGCGGGAGGCCGGGGCGCTGGGTGCCTGCCTTCACAGCTCTGCGCCGGCCGCGTGGTCAGCCTCTCCACCCGATGCTCGGCCTCATGACGGGCCCTGCCCCCCCCTTCCCTGCCCTGCTGTTTCCTGCACAACCGCCCCGGAATCTGACAACAACGCCTGCCTGCCTGCCTGCCTGGCCCCCCAACCCTGCTCTACCCAGGTGGTGGTGATCAGCCAGGTGCTGGCCTGCAACGCCACGCTGGGGTACGAGGAGGTGTTCAACACGCAGGTGGGTGTGTGGGGCTGTGGAGCCTGGTTCTCTTTGCACTTTGAATAAGCCTGCTGAATAATCCTGTGCACGTTTGCCGCAAACGCTCCTACCTGGGGCTGCTGCACGGGCGCACGGCCATGGTGCCGCCTGGCCCTGCCCAGCCGGCGAATGCTGCCTGTCCGTCTTCTGCCTGGCTCATGCTGCAACTTTATGCTGCTTGCCTGTTACTGACCACTCTGGCATGGGAGGGCACGGGATGACGAATTGCACTGATTTGAGCAGCCGGGGCGCCGATCAAACGCCCCGCTGCACACCCTGAAACATCAAGCAGCTCGAACGCTTGGCTTCTGACCGTCTCCTCTCTTGCACACATGCATCCATTGCGGGCGTGCACCTCCACCTTCGGCCTACTGTCATCCTGGTGCCTGACGCCCACTGCGTGTTGCCCTCCCCGCTCCCGGCAGGTGCACAAGTTCAACGGCACGCCTGTGCGCAACCTGAAGCACCTCACTGAGATGGTGCTGACCTGCAAGGAGCAGCACATGCGGTTTGATGTGGACTATTCGGTGAGTTTGCTGTGCTGCATGTACTGCCTGTACCGCCTGGAGGCGGCCACGGTACTGCCGGCCGCCTGTGCCTGGTGCCTGCTTGCTTGCCCCAGCTGGCGGGCAGGCGCTTGGGGTCCCGTGCGTGCATTTGTGTGCTGCCTGCTGGCGCCCCAACTTGGATCCTCCTCTGGTGCGCTGCTGCAGGAGGTGATTGTAATTGACACAGCGGTGGCCAACGAGGCGACCGAGGAGATTCTGCGGCTGCACTCCATCCCTGCCATGGGCTCCAAAGACCTGCAGGAAGTGCTGGCGAGTGGCGGCGCGGCTGTGGCTGCCGCCGCGCCGGCAGCAGATGGCGCGCAGGCTGCGGGGCCCGCGGCGGTGCAGCAGGAGGCGGCAGTGGTTGCAGATGCGGCGCCCGTTGCGGCAGAGGCGGCGCTCGCGGCGGCAGAGGCGGCGCCCGCAGCGGCAGAGGCAGCGCCGGCGGCGGCAGAGCCCGAGGCAGCAGTGCCCGTGCAGCCAGCGCAATAGAGGCCCTCTCTGCTGTGTCTGCGTGGTAGCACCCTAGCACCTAGCATCTGCTGCCCTTGAGCCACCATCTCCCTGCACTTCTTTCTCTCCCTGCGGCCTCCCTCACGCAATTTTGCCAGCTCGGTGCTCTTGTTGCCGCTCCCCGCCCGTGCCCTTCATCTCAGCGTGTTCCTCTGGCCCGGGCTGCCCTACATTCTTCCCATTCTTACTAGCAAAATTCATCATAATGTAAATCAGGCTCAGCTGTTGATAGCAGACGAGGGACGTCGGGAGCAGCAGGGGCCCTGCCGCCGCCGCCAGCGACCGGGGACTACCGCTCCGCCAGTGTGAAGGGCGAGGGCAATCAGGCGGGCTTCGCGGGTCGCACCGTGCTGCTGATTGCCGCTGCAAGGTTTCTGTCGCCGGACACGCCCCTGGTGTCACGGCCCAGGAGGACTGCCACCCACCGACACACCCTACCAGCCAGCCACCATGCTTGCGGCTGTTGCGGGCGCTCCGGTTGTGGGATCGGCGCAGCTGTGCAGCCGCAGAACCCACAGACCAGCAGCAGCAGCGAGCAGCAATCGCAGCCGGCGGTGCAGCGCCTCGGCAGCAAAGCGGCTGGATGTGCAGGCGGTGAGTGGGCGCTGCAATTGACGATGGAGCGCCGGAGGGAGGGCGGCGCCGAGCCGAGGCTGCCTGCTCCGCCGCCGGCCCTGCCGCCACTGCAGGTGATTCCCGCGCTAGCAGGCGATGCCACCGACCAGACGCCGCCCGACCTTCCCTCCTACCTGTTCAAGGAGCGCATCGTCTATGTGGTGAGCAGAAGTCGGGGGAGAGCAGCGCAGTCGGGTGTGTGGCGGGGAGGCAGCGCAGCGGCGGCAGCTGCCCTTATGGCAGCCCAGTTTTGCGCAGCTGCCTGCCAGGCGCCTTCACGCCACGATCCCCAAGCAAGCAGCCCGCGGGAACGGCGCCCAGCATGGCGCCCATGCAGCTCGGCCGCTGGGCTGCAGTCCACCAACCCGCCGCTTGGCCACCGCCGCCTGGCGTGCACACCTGGGTTGCAGGGCATGTCCCTGGTCCCGGCTGTCACGGAGTTGGTACTGGCGGAGATGCTGTATCTGCAGTACGACAACCCCACACGACCCATCTACATGTACATCAACAGCACAGGAGTCATCGTGAGTGGCGCCCGCGCGCCCCTGCTGCTGCTTGTTATCACCATGGCACAGCCGCACAGGCCGTTGGCGCCGCCGCCGCGCTGCAGCGCACGTTTGGGGACAGCAGAGGCCTGCGGTGGTGGCCGAGGCTGCGTGGTCGCAGGGCGCGCAGCCCCAGCCAGCCATCAAACCCGCCAGCCAGGCAGCTGTGGGCAGCATGCGGGCTGCTCGCCCTGCCCCGACCGCACCTGCTGCCGCCCGCCTGTCCTGGCCCGCCCGCAGAAGGGCAGCGGCAAGCTTGGGTACGAGTCTGAGGCGTTTGCCATCTACGACACCATGCGCTACATCAAGCCCCCCGTGGCCACCGTGTGCGTGGGCTCCGCGTTTGGCGAGGCGGCGATGCTGCTGGCAGCGGGCGAGGCGGGGCGGCGCGCGGCGCTGCCCTCCACGTCCATCATGATCCGCCAGCCCATGCAGCGCTACACGCAGATGCAGGCCAGCGACATAGACATCTACCGCAATGAGCTGCGCAAGACCAACGCGGAAGTGGTGAGGCGCAGCTGGCTGGCTGGCTGGCTGGCTGGCTGGCCTGGGGGAGGGGCAGGGATGCTTATGCACATGGCCAGGTGGCAGCAGAGCGCCGGGGCGGGCAGGACAGCACGAGGGGCCTTGGGCAGTGAGCTGCACTATAACAAGCGCAGCGCAGGCTGCTGGATGCGTGGGCCGGCTTCAGGCGTCTCGCAAGGCACGCCATGCGCTGCCGCTCTCTCATTGCCGCTGCGCCGCATGCTTCACCCGCAGGTGCGCCTGCTGTCCAAGCACACGGGGCACGGCGAGGAGCAGGTGGCGCGCGACATCTCCCGCCCCAAGTACTTCAACCCTTACGAGGCCATTGAGTATGGCATCATCGACCGGGTGCTGGAGCCGGAGGAGGAGGAGGTGCGCGCCGTGGTGCGCGCCGCGCAGCAGCCCGCGTAGGCGGCTGGCGGCTGCATCTTCAGACCAGCTGTGTTTCTCCCTCCTTGCTGCTCTCTCGCATCTCTATCGACGGGACGCCCTTCAGCCACATCGCTCTCTGTAACAGCACGCCTTGGCATCTGCCTACATGCCAAGCGTTGCGGCTGCTGCGCCTAGCGGGGACGGGAGAAGAGGAGGTGGGGTCGGCAGAAGCGCCAGACGCGCACCTTGCTGCAATGGTGGGCGTGTCGGCAGTGTGACGGTCGCAAGCGCCCGGCAAGGCGGTGCGCTGCTGCCACATGTCCTCACCAGCGCTTGTTAGGTGGCAGTCAACCAGCCCGGAGCCCTGCTTGTTGACGCTCCATGCAAGAGTGCACGCCGCCTGGTAGCCCACGCGAAGCACGCTGTGTGCACGGCTGGCATCCTGGGTTGATGGGCTTCTTGTTCAGGGTGGATTCCCCAATTTCAAGGCATCGCACATGCAGGCATGAAATCATCAAATGAACAGCGCCAACGGTTTTGTAGCATCAATGCAGCAACGGATGGGCGCACAATCCCTGTGTGTGCTTGGCAAGGAAAAAGGCAGGAGGTGGGCCGGCAACGGCAGGAGACACAGCGAGGAATGCTGTGCCAGAAGAACGGGTCGGGGGCTGGGAGCCAAGGAGGGGCAAACCCATCACAACATGCCCCTGAGCGCATCCATGGTGCACCATACGCCGAACCAGCTGAGGTAACAGCTGCGGGCCTCAGCTCCACTCGCGATGTTCGCTGTGCCACCCTGCCCACCACGCCCCTCGCAACGGCCTGGTTGGCTCAATCCCCTGGTTGGCAGAGCGTCACTGCTTCTTCTTGCGCTCGTCGACGGCTGCAGGCCAGGTGGGCAGGTGGCCCGCGAGCGCTGGCGGTTTCAGCAGTGGTTTGTGTGCATCCTGACGACAAGCCAACCAGGCCTTCACACATGATTGAACGCTCGTCCGAGTCTGCAATGATGATGGACTGTGCCGCCAACGGCATTTCAACAATCAAGGCGGCCAGACAGGCACCCCCGCGACATCCACTCACCCAGAACTGGCCTCTGGGCCACGCGCGCCGCCACACGCTGCGCCTCCAGCACCGCCGCTGCGTGGGCCGCCAGCTTCTGCTGCTGCTCCTCCGCAGCGCGCCGCGCTGCAGCCTCCTTCTGCTTCTGCTCCTCCTCTGCGCGCCGTGCTGCAGCCGCCTGCTGCTTCTGCTCTCCTCTTCTGCTCGCGCCGCTCCGCAACCAGTTCAGCAATTATCTGGGCCGCATGCGCAGACACAGACTTGTTGCTAGCTTCTATTTCAGCGCAGTGCCGCAAGCAAAAACTCGACCGCGGCATCCTCGTCCTCAAACTCTGGGGGTGTTGCCGCCTCAAGTTGCGCCTCCACCACCGCCGCTGCCTGAGCCGCCTCCTTCTGCTGCCCCTCCTCTGCGCGCCGCGCCGCAGCCAGTTCGGCAACTATCTGGGCCGCTTGCGCAGACACACACTTGCTGCGAGCTTTTATTTCAGCGTACTGCCGCAAGTAAAACTCGACCGCGGCATCCTCGTTCTCAAACTCCGGGGGTGATTCCGGGCACGCGAGCATGGCCAAGACTAAACACCCGCAGGACTCAACGCCTGGAGCAAAGAGGAGGGGCCCTCAGGCCTGAGGCCGCGGGGAGTGCACCCCCCTGCACAGCAGCATGGGATTAGGTTCAAGGGGATGTCAGGCTGTGGCCTTTGGATGCCCGGGCGCGCCCGGCTGCCAGCTAGACGCCAGGTGGGCTGCTCATGAAAAGAGGCTTCTCTCTCTTGGCATCTTGGCTGAATTCGCACGCCCACTACATGTATGCAGCAGGTGCTGCTGATGAAGATCACCTTGAGCCTTCTGGTCTCCGACAAAAATAGGACCTTTGGAAGGCAGCATGCAATCTGCATCAGGGTGCCAAAGCATCACGGAGATGTCAGAAGCCGGCTGCCGGCCTGCCAAGCCCTTCCCCCGCCACACCGCCCGCCCAGGGCGACGCCGGCACAGCAGCCACCCGTCGTCCCCTTCCTTTTGACATGGACTGGTCAACCCTGCCAGGGATGCTCCTGTATGTGGGCAGCGTGCAAGGGCAGGGATGGGCACGGTTACAAGCACACTACATCCTTGTCGACTCGACGCGCTCTTGCCTGCTGCCAGCTGTTGCCAAGCCCGCTTCTGCCTGATCGCTTCCCCGGGAAGGGCCTGTTTGCGCCCTGCTTGCCCACAAACTGCCTGCCTACCCTCATGCGTGCACGCAGGGTGGGTACGCTAAGATAGGGCCGGCAACCAGTTGCTGCGCCGCCGCACATCGCCTCTCCATGTGGAGGAGCATCATGCGGCAGAAGGTGGAGGTGAGAGCATGCGGCAGGCAGACAGGTGGAGCTGCTGGCACAGAGGGCCTGCCACTGGCTGGGGCCCGCCGCCAGTGTAGCAGCTCCTGTGTCAGATGCCAACTGCAACAGGAGTCGTTGCAGGTGGGCAGCAGAGCTGCCTGCCGCCTGGCACGAGACGAGCCAGAGCGGTGTCCGGTGCCGCTCTGCCTCGTCTCACCCCTTGTCCGCCCTCGTCCCGCCTGCGCGCAACATCTCTCGCCCCAAGTACTTCAGTCCCTACGAGGACATCGAGTTTGGCATCGTCGGCTGGGTGCTTTGGAGCCGGAGGAGGAGGAGGTGCGCGCCGCGCAGTCTTGGTGCGCACCACGCAGCAGCCCGCGTCGGCGGCTGGCGGCTGCATCCTCAACGCCGCTGTGTTTCTCCTCCTTGCTGCTCTCTCGCGTCTCTATCTACGCCCCACCCTTCAGCCACATGCTCTTTGTAACACGCCTTGACATCTCGCTACATGCCGAGCGTTGCGGCTGCTACGCCTAGCAGCAGGATCGTGGCATGGCAGGGCATTGTGAGGCAGCGAGGGGCAGTGGGTGCTGTATGCAGGGGTAGTTTCTGAGAAGGATTCCAGCCGCCGCGATGGTAGGTTAGGGAAGCCCCCAGTCCAACTGCTGCTGCACCTGCTGTGCTGTTGCCTGGCAGCCAGCCGTGGTCTGTGTGCTGCCGTCTCCGCCTGCCCCACTGCCGCTCACCGTGCCGCCAAGCGAGATTCTGGCCCGAGGCAGCCCCTGCATCTTGCAGCGATCCCTGAGGCGTGGTCAGAATGTGTCAGCTAGCTGGCAGCGCCGTATGAAGCGACCATGCCGCCAGCAGAAGGGCTGTGTGTGTGGCAGAGGCAGGCACAGCATGCGGGTACCATGCCCGCTGCGATGTCGCCCAGCGCGGCGCTGAGTAATGAATTACACTATTGGCTGCATGTTTGCTGCGTCCCCTAATCCGCTGTCCGCATTCATTACCTCCACGGATCACATCAGGCCCATCCAGCTGTCCCCTGCCCTCCCAGCAGCCTTTTCTCTGTGCCATGAAGGTGCTGCTACTGGCTGCGCTGCTGGCGTGCGTCGTGCTCGGTGAGCATCGGTTGGGGGTGGCCGCTGGGGACTGCGAAACGCAGGAGGGAGGTGTGGCAGGCAGGCCGGCAAGGGTTCCGGGGCTGGGCAGGGCGGACGTGCCACTTCACGTGAAGGCTGCGTGACTGCAGTCGCCCCCGAGAGCTCACCCGCTTACACGCCTCCGATCGTTGTTCATGGAATGCAGGGTCCCTCGGAAAGGTAGGCGGGAGCCTGCCGCCTCGATTGTGGGGGGCCCAGGCGGCGTGGTGAGGGGGCGGCCTGCTGTGGCGGCGGGAGCCTGGCTGGCGGCGGCACGCTTGCTTGTGCTTGCTTGTGTGGGCTTAAAGTCTGGTAAAGCAAGAACTAGCTTGCAACATAGACTCCCCGCCGAAACGGGACGGGAACCGGGCGAAAGCAGAGAAAGCAATAAAACAGGGGTGGAGCAAGGCGACATGCAACGCAAGCAGCTGACAGGGCACGCATCGAAACGTGTGTATGACTGGCAAAGTGGCATGGCGCATTGGGGAGAAACGCAACGGTACGGGAGCATGGGCTGGCCAAACGGCAGTGCGGAACGCTAGGTCACTAGAAAAGCAGGGAAAGGCGCACTATGTATGCAATGAGGGCAGCCCCGGCTCGGGGCCGTTGAGAAAGCAGTGGGCGGGAGGGGGGAGGCCCCCGGT